TAGCAAACATGTAATTGTACATTTTTTTTTCCCAACGGTAATGTTATATACATTAGAATTAACTTGTACCTCAGTCAAGATTATTTTTTTACGGATGATTTTGACGCTAAATTGCCAAAGAGTGAATTCTTACTTCCAACGTAGTACGAGAATTTGGTGAGAAGTCGTCCATGACCGTATGAAAAAAACAAATATAGGTCACAACTTAACAAAACATTGATGATCAACCAACAACAACTTGGCTCATGAACTCACTCTCATCAGTTTTAAGAGGATGGTGATCTTTTTACAAGTTCTTGCATGCATGTGGTCGACTTGCATGATTTTCCACCACAAACTAGGGAGACATGAAATATAAAAACTTCAATTTAAATTTATTATGTCTGCTACATATGGTTGCTTTGATAATTCTAACAAAGGTGATATACAGGGTATGTGTTTGGAATATTGGCCCCAGGTAAAGAAATTCATTATTTTTCCAGCGTTACTACAATATATTAGATCTTTGACTTTAGGATGGTGGTATAACTTGTAGGGTACCCTATCTCTTCGTCTACTAATAGCTTTCCATTAGGGCAACCATCATAGTTAATTTTCATTGTCATTAATTATGTACTAAGGTATTGATTACAACAAGCTTATCATCAACAACAAACTCATTATGAAGTTTTAAGGCTATTAATTAACAAATATATATATATATATAGAAAAGAAAAAAAATTCTGATATTCTACATAGAGGTTGTGAACCCTATATTGATGAATCTTTTTTAATCATTAATTAGGTCAAGAAAAGGATGTGATCGTATAGTCTCTATATCATGTGATGTTAATTAATGCTTTAAGGTACATCAACTATATGCAATGTGAGCATTTATGTATTTAATTAAAACTGAAAAATATCATTTCACTTTAGACCAATAACTAAGACATAAATATACGTAGTTTCTTTGTTTGTTGATAAAATAGAAGATCTAACAATATTCTAGAATCGGTTTTGATATCAATTGAAATTAAATTTACCATCTTAAGTAAGTGTCAAATCCTTTAATTGACTACTATAATTTTTTTTAAACAAAACCAACCCAAACTTAATTGGTATCACTAAAAGTCAATGTCAAAATACATCTAATTTTTAATCGAACGTTAAATTGTTTCTTAAATAAAATTAACTCAAACTTAATACCATTAAGAAATAATTATGACTAATTATATATAGATAATAAATATTGAATTTTGGTTTTGATTAAACTAATTCATTTTCTTAATGTAATCATATTAAGTTGGATAGCTGTGTTTGAGTTTTATCCAAATAGCTTTGAGTTACAGGACGGAGAGAGCTGATCTCTTATAATTCTCAAATTCTCATCTGATCTATTTCAGGATTTATATATACTAGAAATTCAAATCTTAACCATTATAAGGATACCTTCGGCACATGCTACTGCTTGTTCAGGAAAGCCAATCCAAGCAAGTATACAAATGTAAATGCTATAAGACCAGTGATCGAGTAGAATTATATAATATTTTTTTATGCTTGACTACTACCATATTGCTTTTATTTCTTTTTCTTTTTTGGAAACAGTAATTTTTTTTTTCACTTTTTTGAAAACAGTATTCAGCAATATACAAGTAAATTATAAATTAGTCCCTCTCGTTTCAAAAAATAATCATTTAATCCCTATGTTATGAAATCTACTTATAATTTAGTTCTTTTTGCTCATTTTTAATTTTTTTAATACTACTTTTTAATTTATTTTGATTTTTTGTTTTAGTAAATAGAAAAAGAAAAAATATGAAAGGATTAATAATGAGAAAATTAGAGATTTTTTGAAATAAAACTAATATTAAATTAATTAGTATGATTAATATTAATTAAAAAACTAAATGATAGTTTTTAAAATAAGAGCAACTAATTAAAAAATTTTTTGAAACTAGAGTGATTAATTTATAATTTACTCCGCAGCGTACAGCATTGGGGGTGCTGCTTTTATATTTATTTCATGAACTATTTATGTCAAACAAATAAAATTCATTGGTTAGTTAACTCACAGTACGAATCATACCGCTACAATATAAATATCAATCATCACAGTACTATAGAAAAAATAATATAATACCAGCTGTTGAAAGAATAAAGATGCGTCTCTTCCAACTACCTCGAGCAAAATTCACCTGAAACAGTATATTGTGCATTTTCCCAACTGATGTGGAGTCTTACTTTTTTAATTAATTTTTGAGACCGAAAAGGTTCGATAGCATCAATAACTAGTATTAGATTCTACGTTAAATTATTTTTTATGTGCCAACATCATATAAATTGATAAAAGTAGTTAATTTGACACTCAATGTGTAAAAAAAGATATTTTTAGATTAAGCATTTGATTATAAATATGAGAAAAAATTTATTTTTTAAACTAGGTTTTTAGAGTGGAAATGAACTAATAACACACTCTAAGTCAATTTTTGTGCATTAATTGCAAGATATAATATCCATATGATTTCACATGGTAATTATAAGGACAGACAATGCTATCAGAAAAAAATAAAAAATAAAATTAGGAAAAGCACCTGCACACTTTTTTTTGTGTTCTTCTGCTTCCACATTTTTTCTGTTTTTTTTTTTTATTATCAATAAATTAGTTTCTTTCTTGTGACTAGTGTGTGTATATATATGTATATATATGTGTGTGTGTATGTATGCATGCATGCATGCAAGAGTGTGTTGAGTTATAGTATGATCTCAATTCAAAAAAAAAAAAAAAAAAAAAAAAGAGAGAGTTAACTATGAAACTTCCCATGTTCAAAAAAATAAAAATTAAGTTCTCTCAAATTATATTGTTAACTATGATATTATAAAAGTCATATTAGCTAGTTTAACTATAATTCGATAACATAATTTTTTCATGAGTAAATAACGTTAATAGAATAAAATAATTCTAAAGATATGGAATAAGCTGAATTAATTAATTATGATTTTAAAATTAAATTACTCTAACAAAGAGACATTACGAATAAACTATAGTTGAACTATCATTAATATCTTTAAAAGATTTCGAGTTAAAACCTCTTTTTTGTAATAATAATAATTTTTTTTGTAAAAAAAAAAAGATAGGAAGGGAGGGCTAGGTTGGTTCTGTTATCTGTTAATTCTACGTTAATTTGATTTCCAATATAAACAATAATGATTAAGATTTATTGGATGTTAAGTATGTATGTCTCAAAATTAAGAGATAAAACTTAAAAGGTTCCTGTCTCCTTTTTTTTTAAAGATTATTTTTTTTTTTTTTTTTTTTGAGATGTGTCATGAGCATGTTCCATGTCATGTCCTAAACGTAATTAAAGTGATGTGTTGCATTAGGAGAAAGATGTAATTGACCATCTTGATTTTGATGATTTAAACTTTATGCTTTCTTGTTGGCTAATTGTATTTATGTCTGAGATCGACTTGACATGATTCTTTTGCTACAGGGTTTGTACCGCTTTTCGAGAGACGAAAAGCAACCATTCTTGAAAATGGACCTTTCTCTTATTTTCTTGTAAAAAGGGTATAGAAAAAATGAAGGGGTATTTGGTTATAAAATCTCTTGAATTATTGGTTAAATTTTTTTTTTTAGATTTCTGCTTTTTTTTAATTAAATTCTTTTATCTCGTTGATTAATTTTAAGCTATAAGAGACATATATAGAGCTATTAAAACAACAATGCATATTTTAAAAATCTTTAAAAAAAAACACGAGTCGTTGTTTGTTGTTTTATAATTTTACGTATTTTTTACATGTATCTAATTTGGTTTGAGATTAATCAACCAAACAAAATTACCAAATTATATATTAAAAAAATTAAAGACTTTTCTCCTAGCCAATACAGAGAAAAAGACACGTTGTCTATCCTCCTCCTTTTAGGATAAAAATGATATATTTGAATGAAATGAATTGTACCTATTCTTATTTGATAGGATTTTATTTCTTTCAAGTTAAAAAAAAAAACTAGATATTGGCTTGAAAATGAGGGTAATTCTATTCTTTTAACATATATATTGGTTTTAAAAAAATAATATGTTTTAAAGAGTAATATAAAACTATTTCTAAAACCTTATCTAACAATTTAAATTTTTATGTTAAGATGATTCTTTGACGTGCATGGTATTAAAGTTTTGATAATTAAATAGTTACAAGTTCGAACTCCTCACTTCTACTTTCTCCTTAACTAATTAAAAAAAAAAATTAAACACAAAATAGTATGGATTTGGGTAAGTCTCAAACCCAAATGATTTTTATTTAAAAAAGTATATTAGAGAGTAATACAAATTCTTTTTTAGAATCTCAACTAATAATTTATGATAATCTACCTAGCTTTTCCATTAGTCAAATCTTCAACCTTAATTTCTTTCATACCTCAAATTAGAGAAAGTAAGTAAGGATTTTCACTATGATTCCCATGTTCATCATTTCTGGTTTTTTTTTTTTTTTTGGATTGACATGCAGTTTATTCTTAAATAATCCTAACCCGGCCAGAATTTCATTTGTTTTCAAGGCTGCTGCAAATATTGGTCCGTCAAAAGTCCCAAACACACCAAAATTTCTCAAGATATTGAAGTAGAAGAATAGAAAAAAAAAATCTTTCAATTAATTGCTTAACCATTTAGACTGGTATACAGGTCTATAAAGAAGGAGAGAAAAGAAGAAGATCATACAGATCAGAAGAAAATCATTGAACAACAAAAATAGAGAAATTATATAGAATAATAATTACTTTCATTATTTTTCAATAAACACATAATAATATATATCTATCACCCCAATTTCTTCTCCACCCTTTGCTTAATTTGACACCCACATATATATGTATGTATGAATGTATTATTTGGTGTATATATATAATAGACAAATTATATAGAATAATAATGTCACATGCAATCAATCCTATACACGCTTGATCACCACCTTAAACCAAACACACGAATTCACAGAAATCCCGTGATCATAAAGACCATAGATAGCTAAAGAAAAAAGCTACCATCTGCATGGTCTTGAACCCCAAAAGAAGGGCTAGGACAATTCCTGTTAAGAAGCTCTTCAATCATCTGCAGTGCAATTCTCTCTTCGTCATCCATTTCTGCTCTCATTTCTGGCCCTGTCGTCCCTCCTGAGGACTCAGGCAATGGCAATGTACTCTCATCAGAAACTTGGCTCTGATCTCTCTTTCCAAGCTGCACTGTCATCACCCAGTTTGAGTCAGACCGCTGACCTGCACGCTTTTGCCAAACCCCAATGTGTGAATTCTCAGTGTCAAGCCTCAAACAAGTCATTGATGGTGACGGTGCCTTGCTACACTTTCTTAGCTTAGCATGGAGGATCTCAGACAAACCATTTGGTGGTGTTGGGAGTGAAGGTTGATCACTTGATTTTGGATCGTCTTCATTTGAAGTTTGAGGTATGGGAAAGTTAGTCTTCGCATTACGGCCACTCATCAAGATTGCAGCTTGATCATAGGCTCTTGCTGCTTCTTCTGCTGTTTCAAAAGTGCCAAGCCATACCCTCCTCTTCCTGTTCCACAATATACAACAAAAAACAAGAAAATTATGCAATAAGATCTTATAATTGAACGAATTTGACAAAACCACTACTACTTTGGACTCAAAAATCGAAAAGAGAGACAATATTCGCATATGTCTAGATAGGGTTGGTAGATGAAGCTAGCTTACAGTAAAGGATGTCTAATTTCAGAAACCCAAGAACCCCAATGCCTCTGCCTCACCCCCTGAACTTTTTTGACTGCACCATATTGGGCGAGAGAGAGAGAGAGGGAGAGAGAGAGAGGGAGGGAGACAGAGACAGAGTGTCAGTTTTTCACTGACAAAGGAAAGTACGGAAGTTTCAGAGATGCTTGACGTACACAGCATAGGCTGAGTTGAGATCTTGAGAAGATATAGAGATGAGATTGAATGCAATTCATTGCACGAGAGTACATTGTCGGCGAACTAAAAAATTGTACTATGAAGCTTGGTGTGTTGAACAAGATTACCTACAAGTCTTCTAAAGTAAATATAACCTACCCCAATTTAATCACTGGGGCTTGCTTTGCTTTCTTGCGTGCAATACAGTACTGTAGTAGCTAGGGCTTTTATGACGAAGAAATCCAAGTGGTGGTCGCACAAGGCAAGATTAAAAGTGATGATGGGATAGGAGTACAGATCATTTCTCAGTAATTATATATATAGCTGATACTAATAGTAGACCGTAATTCTGAATAAGGTAACAAAAAAAAACTATCAAATTTTTTAACCAATATTTATTTTAAAAACACAAAAGTTGATTTAATATAGATTATTTAAATAGTTCTAAAAATATAATTTATATTAATTATTTTTTATAACATCCCATCAAACGAAAAAATTTTTAGACTTAAAGACTTGTACAGGTTAAAATTTTTTTGACACCACCTTGTACTATTATATTTTTAATTAAAAAATAAAAATATTGAGATTCAAACACTTGATCGTTAGATTGAAAAATTCTAAAATTTTATAAAAAGACTTTGAAAGTTTAAATTATAAGTGAAACTTCAAAACATTATTTATATATATATTTTTTAATATTTTCATCATATATTAAAAATAAAATTAATCATGTTTAAAACAAAAAAAAGATAAAATTTAACTTTTTTTAACAAATATAATTTTAAAATTTAAATCTTATATATTAACAGAAAATTTGTCTAAAAATCAATTGTTTGATACGTCAATAATTTATTGGTATTTATATTGTTTCTTTAGCCTGCATCATTTTATAAGTAACTTAAAATATTTGTTTTTCCCCAATTCGTGCACTTCTGATATAATCACTGCAGATTAATGGCCAAGTTAGAACAACATTCGGCATGAGGTCTAGTACCTAGTACCTATAGATGAAGATGCCAATAGCCCAATGGTGCTAGACCTACTTGACTTAGAGCAGAAACGTAGCCAATAGCACTAGACCTACTCGACTTGGAGCAAAAACATGGCCAATTCTTTATCCACGGAGGTTGCTAAATGTGGTTTATTGATGTAAGATAAAACATGCAGTATCGGTTTGGTAGGCTGAGAATTTGTTTCTAGTAAAACTAAATATGGTCAACCTTTATCCACGGAGGTTGCTAAATATAAACCTAGATGATGACTGACCAACCGGCTAGCCAATTACTGAGTCTACTGACATCAGCTTTATACCCTTTAGGTGACAGATGCCAATGGCCCGATAGTACTGGACCTACTCTGACTTACAGCAAAGACGTGTCCAATGCATGATCTAAGATATAAATATACGTGAGTTATAATTTATTCATGCGCTGTAAAACAGGTCGTGTAAGTCTGGCGGAGTGGGGATTCTTTTTTTTTAGTAAAAGTATATATATATATATATATATATATATATATATATATATAAGTAGTAGTTATTTTCAAACTAATTTTTACATTAATATAAAGTAAATCTATTATTTTTTGAGTTGAATAAATTAATATCAAAATATATTTGGCTTTTGATCGATTATTTAATTCTTTTTTAGATCAAATGAACTAAAATTTGATATAATTAAAAAATAATTATAATTAATTATATAATAAAAATTAAATTTTGATTTTGAACAAATCAAGACGAAAGTTTTATTGTTAGACTACGGCATTTGAAAAGTAATTATGCTTAACTTTTTATCAAATATTTCAAAAAAACAACTCATTGAGTTGAGCATGCATAGATTTTGCCAAAGAAATTTTAAAGAAATTTTAATAAGGATAAATTTCAGCTTTTTTTCTTTGAGGGTTTTTTATGTTTTTTTAATTTTATTTAAAAATATATTTTTTAATTAATATGGAAATATTTTTATTTAAAATATCTAATAATTAATCGATTTAGCATTTTTTTTTGATAAATTTTATATGAGATGTCGAGAAGCTAGTGATCAGACAAAGGAAATTAATGTCATCATAATTTGAATGGACGCTTAAAATTTTGGTGGTGTCGATCAGTTGCTGCAACTTCCCCATGCCTACCATTGAAGTTTGATTATTGAATGGTTTCTTTAAACAGAATTGACATGTCAACCAAAAGCAATTGATGACCAAACATTATTTATGCTTCCTTACAAAAAAAATATATTATTCTTTCCTATTTTACAATAATTAAAAAAATAAAATCGTTTCATGTTATAAATATCTAAACCATTGAATTCAAAATCAATGAGTAGATTTAAAACAGAACCGATTATATTATATCCTATATATATAGAACTTCTTTTTTTATAAAGATCGAATTGTACAAAAAAAATATCATCCTATAAAAACTTCTTGAACTACAGATAATATCATTAATGAAAAATGAGATATTATATGTTAATTAAGTTACAAATAGACTAATTTGAATGGAAACCTATAGTATAAGGCGTTATAAAGATTTAACACGGTGATTTCATTAATCAATCATCGAGCCATAGTTAAGGGGGCAGCACCTCTTGTAAGAGCTCGAGAATAAAGCCTACAAAACATTTACAAAATATTAGGCCAAATGTATAAACTCGTTAAACTTTTTTTTTTTTGTTACAATTCTAGTTGTTCGCACTATAAATAGAAACAACATCAATTATATTTGTAGTCTCCACTTGATAAAACCTCATAAGAAATCATAGTATAGTTGTACATCATTATCGATATTGAACTACGTAAAATTTTTGTGTTATGTGATTGTTGTTATCTTTCTACTTTGTTTTTATACTTGATTCGTTTTCTAACATTATAGATTATCCAAATGAGATTTTATAAGAAAAAATTCATGAATAAATTCTAATTTAGAGGATTTTGAGCATTTAATTGGATCATGATCATAATGTGTGACCTAAGGATATTTATTAATCTAATGATTGATGTATATTTTTAAAAATTTATTAATGTAAAATTTTCTTAAAGCATAGCATTAATTACTTGACATTAGTCCTTAGACGTCCTTGCAGATCGAATGAAATGTTCATGACATGCGTTCTTATAGAGACTAACACTACAAGCACTCGTTGTGGGGAGTTCTAATAATTAGTTGTATATATCATTAGATGGACATGCTATTAATTTATCTAATCTTTTTGCTCAGAAAAATTATATATATATATAGTGTTAGTGTTAGTCTCATTCTCTCAAGATAATTATGATGATGTCCATTCTAAACGTCATTTTATGTCTTCTATATCCAAATTGAGATACTTTATGCCAATTGTTTGTTATACAATAGTTTCTACTCTTAGTATCCTAAAAAGATTATCTCAGTTTGAGTTTTTGCTGAGTTTAAGAAAATTATTAATTGTTATGTCATATGTATTAACATTTTTTGTTTATATTGTTCTAAAATATTCTTCTTGTTAAAAGCATTAGTTATCAAATCTAATCCTTTAACCAATAATTATGAAAAAATCATAACATATTAATAAAAATATTATACTCTCAAAATTTTGACATATGGTAAAGTCTTTGTAAAAATGAATATTTTTCATGTAATAAAAAAAAATTATCTTTTGAAATTTTTATATTAAAGGTATTTCTATGTATAAGGAAGAAAGTATATATAATATTGATTTTTTTTTTAATTGAAGAACAACAAATAGAAAAAAGAATTTGATTTTCTTTATCAATTAAGAGTATTTTAAAAATATATGTATTATTTAAAATTTTGGAATAGGTATAAATAAAAAAAAATGGAGAAAGTATTACACTTTTTGAATTGGGAAACTAGCTACTTGTAGCAATATGCACAGAGTGTTGATATAGTGTTCCACTTGTTTATTGAGTTTTGATATTAAATGTATCTTTTCCTTTTGAGAATTCCCTAATCCAAACTATGAGGTAAGAATCTTCTATATATTTTGATGGGAAAAAAATGCAGAAATTAAATTAACTACAATTTCTTCCATTACAATGTAAGAATATACGACATATTTAGACTTATTATATCACCCAAAATCCGTTAAATCTTGCAATGAGTCCACAAAAGTTGAACACGACAAGATCATATTCCTTAATACTTAAGCCAAATTCTTTGTTAAAGAAGTAAAAATAAAAATGATACTTTACAGAAAAGGAAGGAAATCTTAGATCTCAAAAACAACCATCAATGGCCATGATTTTTGGTATGCACAAGCAACATGCGAGCAGGAGGTAGATGTAAAGAAATATCACACTAGTTTGGGACCAAAAGGACTAACCAACCATCTTGTCTTGACTAGCTTTTCAGTAGTATTTTAATTGCCATCACATCCTTTTGGTTCCTCGTCACATCATATCATGTGACGATATTGTTGGTTTAATGACATTGAAACATGCATGTGGTTTTCAAATGGACAATAGCCAATAGAAGAAGGTTTACGTACATTGATTAGTAAAGAAATTTCACTCTTGGATTTAATAAGACTTAATTTCATCATTAAATTCAAGATGTGAAAGTCTTAGCTACGTGTCCTTATTCATATCATATTTTTTTTAAAGTTAATCATTGTGTTTTTTATTCTTGCACACGTTGAATTTAAATGAAAAAAATGATAAAAACAGTCCGATTCAAGTTCAAATAACATGATTTTAAACTCAAGATTTTCATTCAAATTCAAGAATAAATATTGAAAAATGATAAAAACGATCTAATTCAAATTCGAGGCACATATATTTAAAATAATTCTATATCATACCTTTATAAATATAATTAATTAGTCATAAATATATCATCTTTCTAAAAAATAAACAATGAAGCTCAAACCTTAAACCTTGATATTGAATGAGCCTTATTTTTACTATCTAAATTAATCAAAGTATATGAAGACCATGTGTGTTTAGTTGGAACCTTGATAGATAAAGGACAATCATCAATCGATTTCACCTTGCACGTTAAATTAAGATCGAATCCACTACTCTTTCAGTAAGTATATTAGATAAAAAAAGAAAAAAGAAAAAAAGCATGTACTTTAGAGTTTGAAGTCGAAATTTGGACTTGTGCTGGTAATTATACATAAAACTATACATCTAATAAAATTAGAGTAAGTTCTAAATTTGTTTCTTTAATTTCAAAAAACGAATTAACTAGTCTTTTAATTATTTAATCAGTTTTAAATACATTTAATTTAATATTTTTTAAAAAATATATCTTTTTTCATCAATCTTTTCATAATAACTATTTTTTTTGTATTTTTTAAAATAAAATCAGCTAGAAAAAACATAAAATTAATTAAAAATTAAATAATTAGTTTTTAAAATAAAAAAGACTGATTAATTTTCTTCTTTACTTAATTCAATATATATATTCTATTTTTTCCTTTTTAGTTTATTTATTTATTTAGTTTACCAAATGTCTTTTTTTGCTATCCTTATTTTTTCTTTATAATTATTTTGATGCCATTGAGTAGATTTGTGTTTTAATCTTTTCGCTCTCTATTTATTTTCTTAACTCGTTTCTTCTAGTACCATTTTTTGTCTTTTTCTTTTTCATCATATCATTTAATGCGTTGTCTGTTTATGTATATATATATACATATATACTAGGCTATTAGTAAATGACGCAAAATAAAAATAGAAATAGAAATATAAAATTTTCCAAAAGCAAAATCCGGGCAACAAAGAAAGAAAAAATCCCGGCAAAGGACGGCTTGCTCGTCGCTATAGAACTCCGAGTGTAGAGGTGAGCAAACGGTTCGATTAACCGAAAATCGAATAAAATCGAATCGAATTATGAAATTTGGTTCGGTTTTAAATATAAAATTATACAATGTAAAACCGAATCGAAAAAATCGAAATTATTTCGGTTCGGTTCGATTTTTAGAAAAAAAATTTTGATTTCGATCGAAAATCGAAATAAATAGTAAAAAATTTCATAATTTCTAGATTGCTAACTTTTCAATCTTCATTCTTGTTGAAACTAAAACACGCGAGATGGAAAGTAAATTTTAAGGACCGTTAGGGTAAGAAAAGAAAGTGACAGAGTGTAATTAATTGGGATAATGTGTTTGAATGAGTAAATTTATTACACTTTGACTCGTTTTCATTAAAGCTTAATTAAAATCTTCAAGGGCTTTGTGATTGTTTATAAAAAGGATTAATTGATAACAAGATGTTACTTAATTGGCTAGTGGACTAAGTGCTAGTATAAAACATCTTTCTATAATGATTTTTTTTACAACAAAATATTTTGATTAAAACTAAAATATTTCGAAACAAAACCAAAATAATTCGATTACAAACCGAATTTATTGAATTTATTTTAATTCGATTTTTATTTTTATTTTTATTTTTTAAAATTTAATTAATAAAAAATCGAATCAAATCGTATAAAATCAAAACATTTAACCGAATACTCACCCCTACTCCAATGCCCCACTCAGATCAACTTGCACACTCATTAATTTGTGTTGTTTTCTTCTTTCATTCGTCAGGTACTATTTTGTTTCTTACACAAATTTATGACATTCGATTTGACAAATGACAAGGCATGTGTACGATGAAAGTGATGACTTATGGAAAAGAAAAAAAATTGAAAACTAGGATATCATGTTGGAAAAATGATCAAGAATTCCCATCACAAATTAATATAAGATTTTTCATTATGAATACCCTACATATAATTTAGTAATAATAAATGCATACATATTTTTATATTATAATAAAAAAATCAGTTCGGATCTCAACTATTTTTTTTAAAAAATACATTCTAAATTTTAAATCTAAAAATGTCACAACCCAAAATTTGAGTCACATTTAATTGTTTAGTTTAATAATTTTTTTTAAGTATTATTAAAATTTAATTTAAAAAAAAAGAGAAAAAACCAAAAGAAAACAAATAAAAAGGAGAAACACATAAACTAAAATTGGAAGCAAATAATTACATTAAATTGAGTTGGAATTGGAAGCTAATAAGGATTAAACCCAAAAACAAACCAAGATCAAATTAGGGGCCTATTTGAAAGAAAATTAAGGATGCAATTGTAATGTAAAAACGTATGGGGACTGTTCTTTAATTTGAAGAATGAAACAGTGAATTGAACAATTCACTGATTCATTTGAATTTTCGCAGGAATTTGAAAACCAGTAACGGTTTTCGATTGCAGATTTGTTGCATCCCTGATCCGATTCCATCCTAACATAGAATCCCCCTGATTGACACAATCCATGCTGCAATAATCAAGGAAATTTGGTAACGGAAAGAGAGAGATACAGGGGAGGGAAATCTGGAAAATCGAAGAGGAAAATCAATGCGTTTTAGGCTGTAAATAGGATGTTCGAACAGTAGAGATGAGGGTAAGAAAGAACAGTGGATTCTAGGAAGACAGGAGAGAATGAAAAAGGCTGAAAATCGAAGGATCTTGGGGATTTTTAGCTTATGCATTTTCTGGGTTTCCTGGGTGTTCTTCATTTCTGGGCAGCTGTTCTTCAGCTCTTACTTTCTGGGTTTCGTGAATGCTTGGATTTAGGAGGGAATAGCAGGGTTATTGGTTTCCTTCAATTATAGGGAGTGAAAGAAAGAGAAGAAAAAAAACAAATAGTGAAAATCAAGGGGGTTTTGGCTTTCTGGTAGCTGAAATTTCTGAGAAATTTCTGGGTTTCCACATGGGTGTTTAAATATCTGGGTTTTCTTAGTTCAAAATTCCTAGGTTTCTATACGTTTCTTTGGTTTTCTCAGCTCGAAAATCTGTTTCCTTTTGTTTGAATTCCTGGGTTTTCCATTCAAAGTAACTGGGCAACTTGAATTTTTTGGGTTCCTCAGTTTGAATTTCCGGTTTTGCTGGGTTTCCTTTTAGGTCTGCTTGAATTGGCTTTCTTTCTTTTTCATTTTAAGTTTTCATTCTTTACCTGTTGTCATTTAAATAATTGGTGTTTTATTTAAGCGTTAGATTTAAGTTTGATTGAACGAATTAACTTAAGCAAGGCTGTGAGTTCAAAAATGATGAACTAGAGAGATAAAACGAAGAACAACAAGAACATGAGAGAGAGAGTCAGGATTGTAGGAGGAGGGGGTTTGATCTGAAAAAGGGAGTTTGGGCCGTGTTTTTAGGTTTTAGCCCAGTCCAGTGTTAAAAAAAGAAGGAAACTCGAGTTGGGCCTAGCCCAACCCACTCCGAATAGAGGCTGGACTATCAGTCAAGGCTAGGCTACAAATGGAAAAGAGGCAGAAGGTGGTTTCAGTCCAGCTTCTGCCCCCTCTTTCCTCTCCCTTCACAAAAAGGAAACACAAAGAAGAGAGGAGTCCAGCCTCTCCCGAGGAAAAAATAATAAAAAATAGGAGTAGGGAAGAAGAAAAATAAATTTAAAAAAAAAAGAAAAGAAAAGGAAAATTAAAAAAATAAAATACAATGTCTGGTTATAATTTAAATTTTAGAATTTATGCATGCTTAGTGTTTTATATTTAATTGCCTTCAATAATTTTTATTAATGTAATTGCAATTTTAAATTTGTTGCATGACTATTGGTAACATTTAATTTAGAATTGTTTGTAATTACTTTAATTAAGGAATTTTAGTCTTTATTCACTTTTATGTATGTTTTGTTATTAATTTAGATTTTTTTGTATTTTAATTGTCTTTAATTTACTTAATTAATATGACTTTACTTTATCTGTTTAGTACTTAGGCTATAGGTGAAGCAGTCGATGATAATCTTTTATCGACAAATAAGAAAAAAATAAATAAAATGATGAAAATTTTCAATAAAGTCTTCGATCCGATAGGAACTGTCTTTTGATCAAAAAATAAAAATAAAAATAAAAATTCTTAACGAAGTCTACTATCCGATAAAGACTGTCGTTTGACCAAAAAAATAAAATTTTGTAATGAGGTCTCCTATCCGATAGGAGCTGTTGTTACAAAAAATCAACATTTATAATCGAATGTCTTCCGACACATCGATTTTGTCAAGGCTTAAAGTGGATCCGATGTTTGAACCAATGTGTTATCCTACGAAATGGACGAATGATCGTTTTAATACGATGTTACGCTCAAAACTAAAACATATTATTCAACTTGGAAAATTGGAGTTTCAAATCGAAAAATAACTAGGCATAAATAAAACACCTTATGAGATAAATTTAGGATTAAACCCAACATGGTACCTTTCTTCGGAAAGGACACTTTTGGGTGATTAAAAATCTTTCCAAAAGTATAATCAACTCCTTACCTTAGAATATTTGAACAAATGCTCATTTTAGGTTCCTGGTTCTTTAATATTAGGTGACGACTCCAAACTTGTAAATAACTACGAAATAACAAATCTTGAGCAAAAACCAAATTTATTTTTAGAGAGTTCAGTTCGATGTCGGGTAGAGATAAAAAATATTCATTAATATGAAAAATTAGAATATTTCTTATTACGCATAAAAGATATAGAAACCAAAATCAAACTAAAAAAATCAAAATATTTTGGAATTTCAATCCATTTTGTTCAACAATTTCATATCTTATAAGCACTATAAACAAACTATTTTTTTCGAGACGAACAAATTAAAGATAATATGAATAATCAAAGTGGCCAGAATAAGGTCTCATCTTGCCTCTTTCTCCATCTCCTATTTTGTCTTCCTTCATTTTTTCAATTCTCTCTACATTTAAAAACTAAATCACAATATAAATGAAGGTCAAAATTAAAACAAAAATGTGCTAAAAAATTAAGGATCAAAGAATAACATTCTTAAAAACATTCAAGTTTCATATTAAATGCCTTAAAATATTTTAAAAATTACAACAATGTTGTAAATAGTAAAGAAATTGTTATTTGTGTGTGTGAATTTTCAAACAGTAAAAACTAATTTTTCTTTAGTTTATTTTGTTGATACATGCAAGCATACTTTTTTCCTTACAATTGAAAAAGTAATTTGGATCTCGGCTATTTTTTTTTTTTAAATACATTCTAAATCTAAAATTTTAGAATATTCATTAATATAATAAAATTAGAAGATTTCTGGTTCAATCCTAATATAAATTAAAAACAAATTGAAAGTCTACTTTACTAATTATGGTTTCTTATAGCAACTAATTATTTTTTGTTTAGATATGCAAATGAATATATAATTTAATTTCTCAACTTATAATGATTGAATTGCATCATAACTACATTTTTGGGTACCATTATAAACCTAGGCCCAACAGAGCAAGTTTTGAGGTGGATACTTGCATGGCCGCCAATAATCCAACAGTAATTTATTTCATATTGTGATCACATCATCCATGGCATCCCTAAACGTTTTAGAGCCTTACATTTCAGTTCCATAATTTGAATTTTGTTTTTAATTATTCCTTTCAAGTCAATACTTATTTTATATAAAATACCCATTTTGCACTCCAAAAATGATTTATTATCTTTATGGCGTGTATTCTATTATTTTTTATTTTCAAATTAAAACTTTTTTTTTTTATATATTGACACTTCCATTTCAAAAACTCTAATTCCATTTCGTATTTTTTTTAAATTCTTTTCTTTTCTTAAATAAGATTCCAAAATTTAGATTTTTTTTTATTTTTCTTTTCTTTTGTAGCATAAATCATTTATAAGATTAATACTCCATATATAATTGAGTAACCACACATATTGTTTTTTTCTTATAATCAACAAATCAATGGATCTCATTTTTTTAATAAGAATTAGTTATTTAAAAAAAATTGAAAATAAATTTTTGCGAGTTTAGACTTTATATATTGGAGATTTTGCTTTTATTATTATTATTGATTTTTTTGGTACAAAAAAATCCTTTCTTAAAATTTTTTTTTAACTAGATAAAACCACAGCTTAGTAAGATCTGACATGGCAAGTTCTCATTGGCTAAACAGAAACAACCCGCAAAATCTACTGTTTCAACTACCAATCAACCGTTACAACTACCAGTCCTCCTCAAAATAGAAAACTGAGTTCAAAACCGAGTTAATCACCGAATCATGACCCATCAAGACACTCTCTTTTCTCCTTTCACTGCTCTAAAACTACTCCAATGCAACACCAACAAAGACCACAACCCAACTCGCTCGATTCGCCTTCTCTGACTCAGTCCCAACCCGGTTACCATGCTTAAAAAAGGCAAGTTAAAGCTCCCTGACAGGCTTGGTAGTTTGGTCCCTGGTTTTGATGACAAAGAAGAGGAAAATGGAGGGTCCCACCCGGTTTTGGAGTCTGGTGAGGAGCTTGAATTTATGGAGCCTAATGGGGTTGAGTTAGGCCACAAGGAAAATGAGTATGAATTTGATGATTTGGGTGCTAATGATAGAGTTGGGGATAAGGCGGATGCTTTTAGGACCCGGAAGAGACCCGATAAAGATGGGTCGGTCCAGGTTTCGGCTATGGAAGTTATTGCAGCTGATGAGAAAAGGTCTGATCTTGAATATGAGGTCAGAATGTGAAATGTTTTTTTTTTTTAACTATTATTTTCTTCTTTACTTTAATGTGGGTTTTAGGTTTGAAGTTATCTTTTTGGAAAATTCTTTAGGGTTTTAGTGACGTTTAGGTTTTTGGGAGTGTTTGGTTGCTGAGAAAACAATGGGAAAAGGGAGGAAATGTATGTGTTTAATTAAAAACAGTAATTTATTGGGTTCACATTCTTCAAAGTTAATTTGTGAAAATTTTCAGAAATAAACTTCTAACTGACATCTTTTCCTGCATTTTGGCTGCAACAAAATGGGATGTTAAGGTCTTGCTGTTTGTGCCATTTTTGCTTTTAGGGCCAATTTACGTTTTTTTGTCTTGTTTGTTGATTGATTTTACATCTTTCCATTTTGTTTTGTGGCTAGCTCTCTCAAAAGGAGATAAATTTGGAAAAGGTGAAGAGAATTGCTAGTATGGGGCTCCCTGATGGAGGAGGTTTGAGGGCAACAGCTTGGAAGGTACATAGACTTTTATTGCTGGATCATTTTGTTTGCATTGTTGGCTAGGGAATTTCATTATTATTTGATGTGGGTACTATGCCGGCTTAGGAGTAGTTCAATTAGCTTGTTGTAATAATAATGTCACTTCTATCATATCGAAATGCACTGATTTCCAACAGAATTAAACAAGTACCGAAGATTTTCTTCCGTTAATTAATAGGTTCTTGCATAAGGTTGTCGCTAAAATGATGATTATTGTCTGTTATGCCGAGATGGTATCGTATGATAAATTATGTGAAGCAATGGAAATAGTTATGACAGAGTAGAATTTGGTTTGGTAATATGGTATGGAGAGCCTGAGTTGTTTGTAGCTCGATTTTCGTTGTAGAAACTAAATAGTTCATCCCTTTAATCTCCTTACCATTGTGCTGGTGACACCATAGAATATTCAGCATTGGCTTTCTTATTATCAAGAAATAAAAGAATTTCTCTTTCGTTGCTAACATCAGAAATACTGATTGCTGGTGGATTTCATTTTCATAATAAATGGGTCAATATCCCCCTGGTTAAGTTCTCTTTTCCAAGATAAGGAAAGAAAAAACACTCTCCCTGTGAAGGAATTGCAGAATTTCGAGGAAGTAAGGAAGGGGTTGAGGATGATCTAAAGGCAATAACAATGAGGCTTTCAAATGATCAAATCTCTAAAATCCTGCTGCTTCCTTCTTTCCTTTCAGCTTAAGCAAGATCGAATTGATTATAGAACACCCTGAAGTTCAAATGGCACAAAGCGAGAACAATTAAGGAATTACTCACACTTGATTCCTGAAATCTCAGCAACATAAAGTACCTTTTAGCACTGTTCATAAATCAATAAACTAACAAAAAGAAGTGCTGACCTTACAGGAATTTCAGGGTTTAAAAGATCCTGATCAATAGCAAAAACAGTGAACTGTTATGATACCTAACAAATCTTCTCCTCAAGCTAGTACATGTTGAGGGTCCACTTACGCCATCAGGAGTAACACCTCATCTGGTATGCCTGATGATATGTGTTGTGTTCATGATTCGGAGTGCTGGAGAACAGAGATCATTATCACCTTGCCTGGAAAGTATGTATAACTGCCAATGCTGTCTGGATGAGAATATGTCATTCCAACAACTAAACTTAGAAGAATAAAATCACTGGGTTGTTATGAAATAATTGGACTAATGTTAAACTTGCTTAAATCGCTTATAGTGATATTCAATTGCCCTGCTTATAAAAATGACAGCTTTATCATTTAATGCTTCTTTCTATTTGAATATGACTCCTGAACATCCTTAAATCGTAATTTCTGGCAGCTACTACTGGGTTATTTATCTCCTTCTCCTGACTTGTGGGAAAAGGAGTTAACCGAGAATAGACAAAAATATGCTAAGCTAAAAGAGGAGCTTCTACTGAGTCCTGTAAGTTTCCGACTGCTGTTCCCACTCCACATCTCAACTTAGTTTCTTAATTTAGTTGGTGAGGAATTTCTTACACACTCGTAATCAGGCATTTTTTTTTTTTACTCGTTTCGATGTTCTAATCAAAATCTTGAATCTAGACAGTCAGAGTACACCAGGGTAAAAGATGATGCAATGATTTCCACTGAGCTGAGCAGGGAAGATGATGATGCTGGACCACTTAAGCGACAAGGAATTTCTCATGGAGATCATCCCCTGAATGTCGGTAAGGCTAGTGCTTGGCATCACTACTTCCAGGTAAATCTCCCCACCATTCTAAGGTGCCTGGAATTCCTTGTGCTAAGGTATAGCTGATTCATCAAAATGAACATTGCTTTTATAGCATACAGAGATTGCAGAACAGATTGACCGTGATTTGCAGCGAACACATCCAGATGTGAAATTCTTTTCAGGGGAGTCCTCATTCAGTAAGAAAAATAGGGTATTTCTTGCCCCCCAATCCACTCTTCTGCTCTTTCATTTTTATTCCGTTTGGTTATTGAATCTTTGTTGACACCATAGTGCACGCCAATAATCCTTGTTCTCAATGAAAACCTCTCTTTCTCTCAAATCCTCCGCCACTTATGAAAATATTCTTTTGGCGAGTTAAAAAAACAACAAATTGTAGTCATTGCCTCAGCAGCAGTTAGTTTAATAGTAAAAGAGAAGGATTCTCCCTGACAGAATGCTCTGATATACTTTTATCTGCAGGAAGCAATGAGGAACATTCTTCTTCTATTTGCAAAACTAAATCCTGCTATTCGTTATGTTCAAGGCATGAATGAGGTCTTGGCACCAATATACTATGTATTTAGCACTGACACCGATGAGCAGAATGCTGTAAGAAAAAATTTGTCTGCTTTTGGGTCTTCTTTTGCTTTAGATATTTGCTTTCCTTGTTGATAATATGATCCTGAAATCATGAAGACATAATGCTGTTTCAACCAAATCCTTTCCCCTCTATAAGTTTTTCTACAATTTAAACTTTCACACCCTCCCCACCAACAAACCCCACCCACCCCCCCCCCCCAAAACCCCCCACCCACCCCCTCCCCGCGGCACATCAATAGAACTTCTTGAGATTTTGTTATCTCATAAGAAGTTCATAATTTTTTAATGGATAGTTTTCTTAGTAGAAGGGGAAGCTTTAATGAACACTGAAGTATGGTTAGTTGAAATTTCTAATACTATGTACAGCAATTCATTTATAGAACATGCGACACAAACTTTATAGCACTGATCAGCTCATTCTTCCATATCTGTTGGCCAGTCAGATAATAAATATGAAAGATTCAATATGTTGTTGAGAAGATCAAACAGTCCTAAACAGAAGCAATCTTCTTCATGCCCATAGTCTATTCTGCAGGTAAATGCTGAAGCAGATAGCTTTTCTTGTTTTGTTCGATTGCTGAGTGACTCGGTGGATCACTTTTGCCAACATTTGGATAATAGTCCAGTTGGCATTCTCTCCACTCTTTCCCGTTTGGCAGAATTATTGAAAGAAAACGATGAGGAATTATGGAAGCATCTTGAGTTCACAACCAAGGTTACGATAGTTTCTTACTAAATATGACTACAATAGATGCACATTTACATTCTTAGTTGTGGGCTAAATTAAGTAAACTTTTCAAGTTCTGAGTGCTTTGTGCCAAACATGGTAGTATTTTTACTTCTGTTTAGCTGCAAACTGTGCTAAAAAAAGGGCTTCGTTCAAGTTTCTGGTCATCATAGTTGGATCAATCTAAGTGAATCGCGGAAGCTTATGCCATCTGTTCAAATGAGCAGGTTAAGCCACAATTCTATGCATTCAGGTGGATCACTTTGCTACTTACTCAGGAATTCAACTTCCAATCCATTTTAAGAATTTGGGATTCTCTCTTGAGTAGTCCTTTCGGTGTTCAGGTATCTCTCAAATCTCAATCTCTCATTAGACGAGCTAGCTGTAACTAATACTTTTACTCCCTCCAATCATCTTGTGGTGATATTAACAAATGGTGTTTATGGGATGCAAAACCAATTCTCTGCAGGATATGCTTTTGAGGATCTGTTGTGCAATGTTGTTATGTGTGAAAAGCAGGCTATTGAGTGGTGATTTTGCAGCCAACTTGAGGCTTTTACAGCACTACCCTGACATCAACATTGAACACCTTCTCCAGGTAGCACAGGATCTAAGTGGAGCTACATCATCCTACAGTTTGTCTTTGTAAATCAACTTTTTATGCACTCTTTGCATACAACTGCTTTGCGTACAAGTTTTATATGTGACCGAACAAGAATTGAGGTGCTGCTGTGAGTTTCTTGCTTGAAGTTTTTCCCTTCCATCCTTTTTTCTTTCAAGGACGGAACTGATCAGCTGAAATGAGAATCAACTGTCAGATTTTGCAGTCTTCAAGCTTCTTGCTTCCCCAAAAAGCAACACAAATCATGATATGAAGAATCAGGACCGTAGATTTGTCGGACCCGCTGGCGGGGTGCACAAAATGAAGGGCTCAGATCCTTTATGTTGCAATTCATGCTAGCCTGAGGGCCATCTATGCCCTACCACTAACACTGGCCCCTTCGATGGATGGATTAAGACCTTAAATGAAGGCCTCAAAACTTGACAGACTATAGGAAACTGTAGGTTGGCAAGTTTTTTTTTCTTCTTTTTTTTTCTCCTCGCTCTCTTGCAGTTAACGATAAAAATAAGAACAACAATAATAATCACTGCAACAGCAAACATCAAGTCTATTTTGGGCACTACCTTGTGGTACAAGCTCTTGATAGGAAGAGAGCGTTGAACGTGCTCTAATGGACCAGACAAGCATGGGGACCGACGCTTCTGGAAGACATTGTTGGACCATGACTTGCCAGCCCACTTGCTTACACATCCCATTATTTGGGATTACCTGCGACAGGAACAACTCAGTGCTTCCTGCGTGAAGGAGATCGTTAGACCATGACTTGGTAGATCACTTGCTATATCGTACCATTAATTGGAATTACCTGCAACAGAAACTACTCGGTGCTTTCTGCAGGAGATTGCTAGACCATGACTTGCCAGGCCACTTGCTCAATCGTAACATTAACTGGAAATACCAGCAATAGAGACTACTCGGTACTTTCTGCAGGAGAATGTTAGAGCATGACTTGCCAAGCCACTTGCATACTTATCCCATTAATTGGAACTACCTGCAATACGTATTGGGTATTCATTTCCCGTCCTCATGGGTCAGTTTCATGGCTTCATTCCTTGCCACTCATTGCATGCCTAGGCCTAGCTAAAACAATCCAATTCATGTAGTTATAATTTTCGTCTTGTTATAAGGATTGGACCCCTTTTTGTTTTCTTTTTCCTTACCTTTTTTGGTCATGTTATCAGTTTCCCTTTCTGAGTCCTAATTTTGAACTTGAATCCTCTGTTCAAAATTTAGCATGACTAGTTCATATAATTAAATCGACTTTTCATGCACCAACTACTAGTCCATTACTTGTGGTTTAGGTATGGTTTTTTTGTAATATACCATGGAAGCTACTTGTTTAATTGGCGCCACCGTCAATAAAATCAAATTGATGCATGAGTTTGCCTAAGTCCTCACAACATATTTTACCTGCTAAAGCATTGTTGCCACTATTTTTTGTAGGCTTCAACTTTGGTTCAAAGATTTTGCATTGCTTATGTAATCTTCACGTTAAGAACAACTGCAAACAAGCTGTTGTTCTTCTCAGAAGTTAGCTCTCTTGGTCTTGGTCTTTGGATGATTTACAAGTATTGGTAGTTTGTCGTTATCAATATTCATATTTGTCATAGATGTTCCTGCAGTTCAAGTTACCAGAACATCATTCTTGTTTAAACTTTTTTGCATTAAATTCATATCAAGTTTAATCAAATCACGAGAATAGCAACAATGGAGCCTGTTCTGCTACATGGGACGCTTCACGTAACAATCTACGAGGCTTGCAAGCTTTGTAGTTCAGGGTCATGCAGCAAGTTTTGCTGTAAGGTGTGTTCTAAATCTTCTGAAATGATGTTTTACTGTTTTGTTTCTGAATTTTACCATTTGAAGCAACCTTGTATCTTCCTCTTGTTTGTACATATTAACTTCACACTGTTTAATGGTTAAGATAAAAATAAATCCAACTTACAGTTAGGTGATAAATTAAGGATCTTCTCATTTCTGTTAAGTTCTGCCTTTTTTTCCCATCTTCGGGTGATTTTCCAGAATCTATTTCCTCCATGATGATTTTTAATATGTAAGAATGGACATTTTTCCCATAGTTTGTGAATCATGGAAGTCTGCTAATTTATGCTATATACAAGATGCGCCTAGGTGGGACTTACCTAGAATTTCCACTTTGAAAGTTCTTGTGTTAATCATTTCAACATCTGATTCGTTTAAATTCGAAACCTGAGTTCAGAAAATTTCGTTTCCTGCAGATATTGGAGAACATTGATAAAACTGTTGTATTTGGAAAAGGCTTCTCTAAACTATATGCCGCAATTGATTTAGAAGAAACTAGAGTTGGCCGAACTAGATTGTTAGAACACAGGCGGTCTAATCCGCAGTGGTTCGAGTCCTTCCACATTTACTGTGCGCATATGGCTTCCAATGTTATATTCTCTATCAAAGAAGACAATCCTATTGGGGCAATTGTGATAGGGAGAGCTTATTTGCCTGCCGCTGAACTCCTAGATGGAAAAGAAGTAGATAAATGGCTTAACATCTTGCATAAAAACCATAGGCCTCTACGTAAAGGTTCAAAAATTCATATGAAAGTGCAGTTCTTTGATGCCACTAAACGGCGGTATTGGTCTAAAGGGATTGCAAGTCCTGAATTTCCAGGTGTCCCTTACACATTCTTCAGTCAAAGAAGTGCTTGCAGAGTTACTCTTTACCAAGATGCTCATGTCCCCGATAAATTTGTTCCGAGAATCCCTCTAGCTGGGGGCAAGCATTATGAACCACATCGATGCTGGGAAGACATTTTCGATGCCATTTCTAATGCAAAGCATTTGATTTACATCACAGGGTGGTCTGTATATACTAAAATCGCTTTGGTAAGGGACCCCATGAGGCAAAAACCTGGAGGAGACATGATCCTAGGAGAGCTTCTGAAGAAAAAAGCCAATGAAGGTGTTACTGTCCTGATGCTCGTTTGGGATGACAGAACTTCTGTGAAGTTACTTAAGAAGGATGGATTGATGGCTACACATGATGAGGATACAGGAAGTTATTTCCATAACACAAAAGTCCATTGTGTTTTATGCCCCCGTAACCCTGATAATGGACAGAGCATTATACAAGACATAGAAATTTCCACAATGTTCACTCATCATCAGAAGACTCTGGTGGTGGATAGTGAATTGTCTGGTGGAGAATCACAAAAGAGGAGGATTGTGAGTTTCATTGGTGGTATTGACTTATGTGATGGGAGATATGACACTCCTTTTCATTGGATTTTCAGGAAATTGGATACGGTACACCACAACGATTTTCGTCAGCCAAATTTTGCAGGTGCCTCAATTGATAAAGGAGGACCAAGGCAGCCTTGGCATGACATTCATTGTCGGTTAGAAGGATCCATTGCTTGGGATGTCTTGGTCAATTTTGAGCAGAGGTGGAGAAAGCAAGGTAGGGAGGACTTGCTTCTTCAACTAAGAGAACTTGACAACATTTTTACACCTCCATCTCCTGTTATGTTCCCTGAAGACCACGAAACATGGAACGCTCAATTGTTCCGGTCTATCGACGGTGGAGCTGCTTTTGGCTTCCCTGAAGCTCCTGAAGATGCAGCCAGAGTCGGACTCATCTGTGGGAAGGATAATGTCATTGACAGGAGCATTCAGGATGCTTATATCAATGCCATTCGGCGGGCCAAGAATTTTATTTATATTGAAAATCAGTACTTCCTTGGAAGCTCTTTTTCCTGGAAATCAAATGATGTAAAAGTCGAGGAGGTTTGTGCCTTGCATCTTATCCCAAAAGAACTGTCATTAAAGATTTCTAGTAAAATTGAAGCTGGAGAGAGATTCACCGTCTACGTTGTCATTCCAATGTGGCCGGAGGGCATTCCAGAAAGTGGTTCCGTTCAAGCAATTTTGAACTGGCAAAAGAGGACAATGGAGATGATGTATAGTGATATAACCGAAGCTCTCCAGGCCAAGGGGCTTGAGGCAAATCCAAAGGACTACTTATCATTCTTTTGCCTTGGAAATCGAGAGATAAAGAAGACCGAAGAATATCTACCTTCGGAAAGACCTGAACATAATTCAGATTACAGTAGAGCTCAGAAAGCTAGGCGGTTCATGATCTATGTTCATGCTAAAATGATGATTGGTAAGCTTTTCAATACCTGAAATTTCCTTTTCTTTTTAAATATCCCAATTCCCAGATCCTATCTGCCTTAATGTTTTGATAATTGATTAAACTTGGAGTAACATTATTTGTTTCTTCAAGGAAGCTGAGGATGATAAACATGGGACCCTTATTTGGTAAAAAGAAACTGAAAATAGTCTCATGTTTTCCTGGAACTAACTCATAGAGTTCCTTTGAATTTCAGGAATAAGTTACTTTCAGATGAAAACAACATGCCAAACTTGACTGTTCTTGCATTTTGCAGTTGATGATGAATACATAATCACTGGATCTGCCAACATTAATCAACGATCGATGGATGGCAGCAGGGACACAGAGATAGCAATGGGAGCCTACCAACCATATCACTTGGCCACCAAGCAGCCAGCCAGGGGCCAAATTCATGGCTTCAGGATGTCATTGTGGTGTGAGCACCTAGGCCAGCTTGATGACACCTTCTGTCATCCTGAGAGCCTGGAATGTGTCCGAAAGGTGAATCACATCGCTACAAAATACTGGCACCTCTATTCATCCGAGATATTAGACCAGGACTTGCCAGGCCATTTGCTTGCTTATCCCATTGGAGTTGCCAGTAATGGAGAGCTTACAAATCTTCCAGGGACAGAATTTTTTCCTGACACCAAGGCTCGCGTTTTTGGGTCTAAATCTGAGTTACTCCCTTCAATCCTCACTACGTAGATTTTTTCTCTAATTCATGAGCTTGTAGCTACAAAATAAAATATTGAAAATCCCGGATACTACTGTTGTATCAGAAATATTTTCCATTACTTTTATACCAAAACCACGGTAAACGAAATTTATGTGTTATTTTATTCTCCCCGGTTTGTTTTTCCAAGAGAGAAACATGATTCATTTGAAATTCCCCGGTAGGTATAACAACCTTATTACTAATAAGCTGCAAAAATCAAAGATAACGTTTTGTCTTTATGTACATATTGTGATAGAGTTTATATAAAATCATTAATCTGTTTCACCGAATAGCTTAAACTTTTGGTTTTTTGACATGGTAGCGAAACAAATTTCGATCCTTCTGCGAATGGCTAGGAACCCACAAATTATATCGGTCACATGTCTTCATAGTAATAATTGGTTGATGGATACCAAGTCTTTCTTAGCAAAATTGGTGAAAAATGTTGTAGCTGGCCTTGGACAATCATAATCAACAAAAGCATTCTAGCAAGATGTTATGTGGGAACTAAACGAAATTGTGTGGAAACTAAGGCAGTTCTGTCTATCCATTCAATAAAAGACTTGAAAGTGCCTTTCTTGCTATCTCAAAGGTCTAATCTTCTCATAAATAATGCGACATGAGTTGCGTGTTCTTTCCTTGGATTTTGAAGAGTGCACGCATGAACCAAGCATTTTCCATCCTCATGGATCATGTGGCTCTGAGTTCATGAACTAGAAGAATCAATCGTCTTTTAACGAAGTGATGCTGTCTATATGTCGTTGTCGTAATTATTGGAAGTCTTTCAAAGGGGAGAAAGGGGTAGCTATCAATTAAGCTACACTCAAAATCACTGTTGAAGGACTCGAAATCCACTTTCATAGACGATTTTCAATGCCTATAAAGATGGGATTTTGAGGACTTGGAAAGGGAAAGAAAAAACCAAGTATTTGCCATTCAAGCTTCTTTGGAACCATCTACTATTGGGCAATTGCTTTACTTGCTAGGATTTTCTTTGATGGGTTTTGTTTTTGTTTTTTTTTTCACAATGTTATCATTATTTTTGTTATTATATATATAGTTTTAAATCGCAATTGCAAGTCTTGATTTTTTTTTTTCAAACTTGAGTTTTAGGATTGTAATTCAGTTTAATTTAAGGATATTTTAAGTTTATGATTGCTTTAAAATTAAAACATTACAAAAAAAAAAAAAAAAAACTAAATAGATTACTATTTATTTACTATTCAACAATATTCATTATTACTGTTAATCAAGACTTAAATCCATCATATTGTCTCTTTGTCGTTCAATTCTACTAGTTAATACTATTGAAATATGAAAGAAATATTTTTTTATATATATCAATTCATTTTATATTTTGCAACCATGGCCTTTTTTTATCATATTAATCATGTTTTGATTTGGTCCAACTAAGACACTGCAGCTCTAACCTTAATATAATTAAGGTGATGACACTAATAAGTGTGAAACAACAACTATAATTAATTAATAAAGCATGCTAAATCAATCTCTAATCCCATTTGCCCCAAAGTCATTGTCTCATCTTCAACCGATGACCTAGGCATCTAAGAAAAGAGAAAAATCCCCTCTTTGAGCATGCGATGATGCTCTGAAACATCATGGATGACAAAGGCTGCCTTATGTTTAACCAAAGAAAAAATTGTAGTAATTGATAACTGCAAGCATCGCCAATAATCGCTCCCTTCAAAGCGTGAAAACCACTCTCTTTGCTTTCCTTATTTAGCTTCTCCACCCTCTCATGTAAAAATTCGTCAAATTACCTTTTCACTTTTCTTGTTTTGGTAATATTAATCAACTATATATGTGTATTAATTCTCAATCATAACACATATATTTGCACTTTAATAAAAAGACCATTCCACTAACGCACTTCTCATCTATAAACATGACAATTCGATTAACTATTTAGAACGATCAATCATAACGTATATCTTCTTACTCTATTAAAAAGATCATTGGACTAAAACACAATTATAAGCATAACAACTTCAACCACTTATTAAGGACGATCCATCAAGCTCTATTGAAAAAACCATTCGATTAAAACACAAGTATAAGCATGACAATTCCAACCGGTTATTAAAGATGATTAATTATGATGTATATCTTCTTATTTCACTAAAAATATCACTTGATTAAAACATAATTATGAACAGGATAATTTCGATCAACTAATAAGGACGATCAATAAAGACACATATTTTCTTACTTTACTGAAAAAACGATTCGATTGAAACACAATTATAAGCATAGTAATTCTGGCCAATTATTAAAGAAAATCAATCATAACGTATGTCTTTTTATCCTACTAAAAAATCACTACATTAAAGAGAATAAAAAAGTATATCCCCTTCCACTTGTTAGACGAGAAAGATACACCAAATGTCACGGGTAAAAATTATCGTTAAATCAATGTGATTTTGGACGGAATACCTACCATGAAATGATCAAATAAAAGAAAGAAAAGATCTATAGTTCTTGCCATCAAACTGAAACTGACACTCCTAAGAAGTTATCGGGTCGGTAAATTTGCAAAAAATCGCAAAGTGAAAAAAAAGGTTATACTAACAAATTAATTATTGGTAACTTATGGATGCCATTAACCAACCTCATCCAATCAATGAGATTTTTTCTTTTTCTTTTTCTTTTTTTTTCATCAGCTTTAGTCGAATCAAAGTGATGGTGACCAAAAAAAAAAGGACATGACCATAATACAACTCCAACGATCTGCTAATTACAATAAAAAACTTATAAGACATGACTTTGATGTGCCATTGATTGAACCAAAAAAGAAGAAGATGATTTTATAGCAAAAAGAGAAACAAAAAACCCAAAACTCTAAAAACAATTAATTTTGTGAAGAACACATAGGATTTATTGATGAAATCTCACAATCTTTGTACTATGAAATTTCAGCGGACTCACATGGAGCCAATAATTGTCATCTTAACAAATCCTTCAACTTCCAAAGACACAGGATCATTCAAGTGTCAATAATTAGGCACCACATGTTACCTTCCACCAAAAAAAATACACATATATTTGCACCATCCACCGGTGACCGGAATGTGACTTCTACGCGCCACCCACCATTCCTTGGACCAAACAATAATATATTCCCTATTTTGTCCTCACTCGACTCAACAAAAAAACTGACATCAACGACTTTTCATTGCCGTGTGCTACACAAGCAAACAACTAAAAAATCCAAAACCAAATCCTTCCTCATAAGCCAAGATCTCTATTTTCGAGTAACGAATTAATTAATTTTTTTTGTTTTAAATATTAATTATTTAGTTTTTATATTATATTATATTTAATATTATTTTATTTTGTAAAATATCATTTTTTCATCGATCTTTCTATATCTTGAAAAAAACAAATGATTAACTACAAGAAAATTTGACCATATAAAAACTAAATAATTAATTTTTTTAAAAAATTAATTATTTCATTTTTTAAAAACTAAAAATACTAATTTATAATTTACTCGGAGAGAACCGCACCACTCAATTTATTCAATTCATTCCATATCAATATTAACGGTCAGTTTTGATGGGCAAGGTATATACCTATTTTTCAATCACAAGATTCAAACCTATGTGAATCCTCTATAATTTTATTTTGACGTGAATGTTCTGCTTTTTACCAAGTATACAAACAAAACCTAATTTTAGTATCTAATTAACAAACTAATAAACATAGTTTTGTCCAAATACCTTCAAAAAAAAAAAAAAAATTTGTTTCGTAGCAATATTGAAACAAAGTGAAAATTAAATTGAAACTTTTTTAAATTGTTTTGTTGATTATTTATTTATTTATTTTTATTTACATGTTTACATTCGATTAGTTGTACATAGCCAATAATTAGCTAGTGTAACGTAAGTGAGATTTTTATAAAACGTTCATCCATAAAATTAAGAATTTGAATCTCACTTATCACAATCTTAAATTAGTGGCATATCTATACCTTAATATATAATCTAATTACAATTAAAAAAAATTTAATTTCGACTCCAACATATGTGATGAAAGTATTTTCAGATAAAAGAATATTATGATATGGAAATAATATTTTTATCTAAAAAATATAAAATATTTACCTACATTTTCATTTTTTTAAACAAAAAAAAAATAATAATTGTCCAAAGTAGTTGTTTTGATTTGATTAAAACCAATGTTTAATTCTCACTATCTATAAATAATTTGTCATAATTATTTTTAAGTGATATCAGATTTAGGCTCATTTAATCTAAGAGTAATCTCGATAATAAATCAAAAATTAAAACTGTTCACGTTTACTTAATCTAAAAAGAGATAGAGTCACTTTCTTACGTTGATTTAATCTAAAACGAGACAAGATCAATTTCGATTGATGTGAAAATTGATTAAAAAATATCTATAAATACTAAAAAAAGAAATTAGTTGTACATGTAAAATCTTCAAACAAATAAATAATGGCCCCCTCCCCTCTCCCAATAGATGACGAGAAAAAATTGTTTATTTTATTTACATCTCTTATTCACTCGCCTTGTGCTACCATATATTTATTCATACCTGTCCCCATGTAAAGAGTAAAAACATCACCTCCCTCCTCTCTTCCCCATCAAAGCATATTCTCTCTTATTCAACCAGGTCACACAACGCACTTTATTCAGTTTCTTTCTTTCTTTTTCTTTCTTGATTCTTCAACTATGTCTTCTATACTTTGCTCACAAGGCGTGGTCCTTGCCACGGCCATGGCTGTTTCTGGCACTGTAATTCTCCTTGCCTTTCGCCTTCAAAAATCCACCCTTTCTTCTGGTCAATTCTCTATTGATCATCATCAAATTCGCCAGGCTTCACGACAAGCTCTACGGTCTTGCATCTCATCAGGTAAAGATACAGCAAGAAACTCTTGTCATGCATTGAACTTACAATTTTCATGTATAAATGTTCTTTTATGACTTTCTTGGCTTATGGTTGTTGGGCTTTTTTTTTTTTTTTTTTCCTTTGAAGAAGGGAAGAAGAAGGGAAAGAAGAAAAGGGTGCACTTTGCTGAGGATGTGGTGGATCCAAGAGGGAATGGAGAGGAGTTTAGAAGGCAACGTGAAGCCATTTTTCTTAGTCAAAATTCCTGTTCTTCTTATTCATCAACGCCTACAGAAATCAAGAAGAATGGTCAGAAAAGAAGAATGCCTGAAAACAGAGCTGCTCTTTACAATGGTATTCTTAGAGATCGTGGGGCTCAAAGATTGGCCTATTCTTGTTGATTGATTCCTCTTGTGCATAGTATTTGGTGTTTCATGTGTAAATTGAAATTTCCCTCTTTTCTGTCTTTGTACATTTTTTTTTTTTTTACTTTTCTTGTTTTTACCATAAAAAAATGGTAAGGAGGTGTGGGGTCCACAAGACCGGACCTGTTATTGTTTCTGATCATGCTAATTGGGTGTAGAGTAGATCTTCTTGGCGGGGGAGCTTTTGGTTCGTACAGTCATCTTCTTGAATTTGTTCATAAGAAGAAAAAGGAAATATCAAGAAAATATCATCTGTTTTTCTCTTGTATTTATGATCTCTTTTTCCTTTTCTGTTTCGTGCCTCTATGTAAAATCATGCAATATCTGTTGATTTCTTTACTCAATTGGTTAAAAAAAAAAAAAAAACCCTAAATCAAAAAGGAATACCCAACTTTTGTTTAAGTAAAAACTGTTTGGATTTGAGTTGTATAATGAAGATAATTCTTGGAACATACTACAGCCTAAGGTGGCGAAGAGCCGACATCGAGGTGCCAAAACACTAGCCAAACATAAAAAACTAAGACATTATGTGCTCCAATTTTTTGGGCTAAAAGTAGAATTCCAATCCGATACCAGCCAGCCTGGGTAACCCAGCATCCCATATGATACAGATTAGCCTTTTGAATGAGTCTTTCTGACTCTTTCATGTGCAAGTGGAACATAAATGTGACAACCCGGACTTGGGCTGGCTCTGAAACTACTTACAAACATCCCATGCCATGCTTCTGGCTCGAAAAGGAAAATTCCAATTCAGTACCAACTAGTTTGGTATATCCAATTGTCAATACTAACCTTGCAAATTGCAAAGGAGGATTATTACCAGCCGGCGCGTTCATACCATAACCATGGTCTTGAAATTGGCTAAAATCAAAGTTTAATTTCTAAAATTATGTTTTAGCGATATCAGATTTGCGTTAGTTTAATATGAAAAACAATCGACTAGTTGACTAAAGACTAAATATATTTTAATATTGATTTAACTTGATATATAATAAATTTAATTTTCATTGATGTGAAAAATAATTCAAAAATACTCTAAGCTTAGTAAATATTAAAAAATTGTGTAAGAATAGTCTCCAACTAACTCATTTATGTATTGAAATTAAATGTTTCTAGCAAATGTATGGCCTTTCACACACATGAACTAACCACATGTAGAAAATGTGTGCATCCATGTGCTAGGAAGCTTCCTCTGGTTGAGGTCAGTCCATTACTTTATCTCTCAGCAACCTCAAAAAAAAAAACAAAAAAAAAAAAAAAACGAAGAAAGAAAGAAAGACTAAGCCATTGACCACATACTATAAGTCATGTGGGATTTAATAAATAATTCAATCTGACAATATGTAAGGGCTCAAAATGAGAATAAATAGATTAATTATATTGCTTTTTTTTTTTTTTTGGAGATATGCTTGTAATGACTTTCAAGTGCTTGAACTACAAGCAAATAAAAGAAGTCAGAAAAACCCAAATAAGAAAAATTAGTCAAATCTACATTAAATAAAATAAAACTGAAAGGATGGAAAAAACTTTTTAGATTTCTTTTAAAAAAAAATGTGTTGGTGGGTTTTTATGATGATACATTGATACTCACCCCCACAAATGAAAAAGGATGGCGATTTTTGTCTTTGTAAGTGAGTAAAGGAGATAAAAGGTGAACTATTTTTTCTTTTTCCTTTTTCCTTTGTCTATTGGTTCTTACATCACCGATGATTCTAGATTTGTAGTAGCCAGTAAATAATAGTAAATAAATGGGAAAAAATTGGTAAAGCGTTGTTGCTGTACACATGGCAAAGAATCGTTGGATATGCAGAAAAACCTCTAGAAAACAAAACAGGACAGGACGTGGGAACTGAAACTTTTGTTGGGTTTTGCATTGATTTTGGAACAGAATCTTTACATCACAAATCAGATACCTTTGTCTTTTCAAATTTTTGAATTTTGGAAGTGCTATGGCTATGCCATGCATTTGTTTGCTTGTGAGGGCAATTCATTGTGGTACCATGGTACGTTTGTTTAGAGATGGCAATGGAGCCGGGTAGGATGGGGATGGCCACCTCCGGCTCTGTCTTATGTCTTGTTTAGAACGTATTTTATGTATAATCTTCGTTTTAAATAAGATGGAGTTTCGTTGAAATGAAACTTCATCGGAACGTGTTAGATTGTTATCTCTATGTTTATGTCTGTCTGTGTCGGTGTGTGAGTCCCATGTTTCTTTCCTTTTACTTATTGCAAGGCAATTCTTTTTTTCCTTTTTCTTGATCCTACCTATTAGATTGAAGACTCTACAAATAGATTGGTTTGATTGTTAAAAGATTATGTTTTATTTTTTGATTTATAGGTTTAAATTTTGATATTAGTATTTAAAATTTTTTAACTTATCATTGTAAATTCGTTTTTAGAATCATTCAAAATTGATATGAAAGTTAAAACTGAAACTATTTCCTATTCGAATAAAAAAAAAATTTATAAACTTTCGTGATGTTGTAGAATTCTAGAAGGTTTATTAGCTTAGTTACAAGTAAATTATAAATTAATTCTTTTTAGTTTTGAGAAATGAAGTAACGAATGAATCTTGTTTAAAAATTAATTATTCGATTCCTTAATTGTGATGATTATGTTTAATTTAATATTATTTTATTTTAAAAAATATTATTATCTTCCAACCTACCTTTGGTTTTTTGACCAAACATCTTCCAACCAATGAGAGAGAGCAAATTGAAGAGAGGATGCCCGATTGGGATGATAGGACTATTATTATCTTATCCCCATCATCTTCCTAGATACTTGGATTCTGATTGGACAGCCCATTTGAGATCTTTAGTGTTATTGGCTAATTCAGGACCAACCATGTTTCTGTCTTGGATGGACGAAGAGATGTATATAAAGGTTGCTTTGTGCCAGTTATGCTTCATCAGAGGGATCTGATGAGGCAAGCCTTGTTTCCAATGTTGTAATGTAAAGCAACACTCATTTTTGGTTTTCTTTGTTAGGGTAGACAATCCCACAAGGCCAATAGGAGCCACTTTCTTCTTGTTTTATATATATATATATATATATATATATATATATATATATGCAACTATTTTCAAAAATATAAAGTTAAAAAAAATACAAAAAAGTGGGTAAAGAGTAAAAAAAATTACTTTGTAGGACATAAATAGGAGATGATCTGATTCCTAATCAATAAAATCATTTTCCGATCAAATTTCAAAAGACAAAAAAGATCTCTGCATCGATCTATTTACCCCATCATAAAAGATGAAAATTCTTGTACGTTCTATTATCGTAGTTGATCAATAGTTCACGAGAAAGCAACATATGGCCCAACAAGTTTATGACATTACCGACACCATACATAAATACTTTTTTTTTTTTTTTTACTTTTTGTTCTTATTTTTCACATTGATTCTCTACTCTCTGAATCTTATTGAATATGTTTTCGTTATCTCGAGTGGATAAATTATAGCAGCAGAGAAACTTAATGATACTTAATGATTAAATCTATTTTTGTATAACTGGTACTCAAGTCTTCAATACGTCTTTATTTTTTTAATTGTGTTTTTTATATTCTTGTATAATATCCAATCCTCCAATATGTATATGTATTTGGATCAAGTTTTTTCTATATATCCAAATTGACATGGTTATATACTTTGTTCTAAACCTACCATTCATCTATGTAATAATATAATTTTATTTAAAAAAAAATTAAAATCTTTATTTTTGAAATTTTAATGGTTGGGCAATCTTGAATTTATTTTATTTCTTAAAATATTTTGAGCAATCTTGAAAAAAAAATCTATTATATTCTTATATAAATCAAGAACAATTTTAGAAAGAACAATATATATATATATATTTGAGTGGAAAAACTTAATGGAAGGACATGTTCGAGAATTAGATACTATAAAAATATATAATAGATATAATTAAAAATATAGAGACATATTAAAAACTTACCTAATTATACAATGATAGATTGAAATATTTGCTTTTTTTTTTTACTCGAGAAACCCTAATAAAAGCTATGAAATGTGATTTTTCGTTGTGATTTAAAGGGGAAAAAAAGATACTTATCTAGTATAAATTTGATGAGTATTGGCAAGTTTTTTTTTTTGGTATAAAGTAGGAGGAAATGAAAGAACGAAATAGATTTAGTGTTTTGTTTGTAATAGCAACTTAGCTTACTCAAGAAATTGTTTGTAATGGATCAATTTAGAGTTTTGTTTTTAACTCGTACTCAAAAAATCCTAATTAATACTATGAAATGTAATTTTCCGCCATGATGTAAAGAAAAAAATACTTATCTAGCACAAATTTCATGAATATTGGCCAATTTTTTTTCTAAGTTTTCTTTTTCTTTTTGGTATAAAGTAGGAGGCAATCAATAGACTTATCGTTTTGTTTGTAATAGTAACTTGCCCTATTCAAGACATTTTTTATTTCATAAAAAAAAGAAGAAGAAGGTCAATCATGCTACAGAAATTTAAAAAAAGAAAAAAAGAAAAAGGGGAGTTGAAGTTGGTGCATTTCTCACTAACGATAAAGTACCTAATGGAATGTTCGACCCTTTTTCTAGACTTCACTAATGGTGACATAACCTCCATGGATTATATGATTATAGACCCCACATTCTAAACCTTGATTTACGGCTAAGAAACCAAGTGCCCAGTTGATAGATGCCAAGATGGGAGTGGAACGTGACATCTCTATTGTTAGCCATTAACAATGGTTCAACGAAGAAAAAGGTAAACGACCTATGCATATGAGCATCTCTCATAGTACTCAATGGCATGTTTCTTCATTATCCTTTTCTCCTATATGTCTTATAGTAAAAAGACAATGCGCCCACCACCTAATTATAAATATTATTGAAACAATTTTACCAAAAATGTTGCTGAAAAAATAGAATTAATCTTGATCCCAATATAAAAAATCGTTAAAAAATACAATTATTACACTTATTTTGATCATTCACCATTAAGGGTGACAACCATTCGATTTAACCTGAAAAACTGAATTGAAAACATCCATCTTAGTTTGGTTCTTAACTCACAAAAAAAATCAATTTTTTTCATGATTTGGTTTGGTTTTTGAAACCTTTGATTTAATTTAAATAAAAAACTCGATTTTTTTTTCAATTTTAACATTATGCAATAAACTAAAAAAAAATCAACACTTTAACATTATTATAGATATATGATGGATTCACGATATTTTTAATCTATTTATATTATTTAAAAAATATTTTAAATTGAAAAAAATCAAAAAACGAAATAATAATTTGATTTGGATTTAATTTTTATTTGTGTAGGCAAAAACCGAACAAAAAACCGAATGATTATCCGTATTCACCATTTTAGTTACCAAAAACTACAATATTCTAATTTAATCTAGTCAAGGATTACTAAACGATTGGCTTTTAGAATCGTAGGGTTCTTTTTGAAGTGGTCTATGACCTATCCATTAGGTCAACAAAAGAACCAATGCTTTTACTTGATTATAGCATCTCTCAACTAACAACATACTATATAATAAGAGTCACCAACAACGTTTCTCCTAGCTATCTTACCTCATTCTAGGTTGGCATGATACTTCTATTATTGATAGAAAAAGCATTTCCTTTCAAAACCAATCAATAAAATGACACCATTCTGCCATTACTTGACTTCAATCACGTTTGCCTATGTTCTTTATACCTTAATAACACAACTTACCGATTATAATAAGCTACAAAATGACCTCACTTCCCTTTTTTTTGGTGGGAGAGGTTGGTGTATGATGGGTGAGGCTCATTGCCTTGCTCACGTGGTAAGTATGAATTACTTCATTGATGGAATTAAAAATGGCAAAAGCCGGTGGTGTGAAGATAAGGATTAGTGATGTTAAACATTAATTAAGTTTGATGTTGTAGTACTTGTACTTGATTAGCAGCAAATGACGTTGCTTGATTTGTCTTAATTTGGTTATATGTTGGAACTTCCCTAACATGATCGAGGACACCAATAATTGACTACCTTGAGATTGCAAAAGTTGCACGCTTTTGTTTCTGATTTGCCAACAAAATTTACAAACTTCAACTTCTAACTAACTTACTATTTTACGTTGTAAAGAATTCATTATTTCTTTTTTTCTAAGAATGGTAAAGGATTCATGCATGTTGCTTATGCATGCTTCTTTCTTTTTCTTTGGAATCTTAAATAGATAAGGTAATCTTAATTAGATAAGATCAACACGAGTCCACATTTACTATATGGAAAATTATAATTTTGGTGTCCAATATTTAATTTTTTTTGTTTCAATGCCCAACCAATAAATTTTTATATTTCAATATCTAAATGTTGATTTTTTTATTTATTTAAGTGTCCATGATCATCTAAGAGTATGAAATATCGAGTGTGTCCATAAAGAATTGTTATATGTGTTTATAACGAATTGTCACGTAACATTTTAGTTATCATGTGGTTGTTTATATCAAACACATTAATATTTCATATTTTCAAGAAATTGTGGACACAAAAAAAAAAAAAAAAATAGACACCAAAATTACAATTTTTTCTATACTATATTCTAACATAACTTTGAAGATTAAATATTAGATGGATTAGCTCTATGCGATGAATATGAGGATGTAAGTGGAAATCCCCCTCGTGTAGTTTTTTCTTATCATATTTTATTTATTGATGACTGTAATTTTTAGTGTTTCTTGTTTTAAATTGGGGTAAAATGTGATGGAATATTCATACTTTGATTAATAGTATAGAAGGGCTTGACATATTTTATCCTAAAAAAATTTGACAGAAACTTAACAAAAGGATTGAGTTTTGCCTTCAATTTTATGTGGGGGATATTTGTTTTGAATGATTTGCTCAGGGACTCTTTATGTTTTGACCAATAGTACAAAGAGCCTCCATACATTTTATCTATAAAAGTAGAGGACTAATTGGGATAAACTTGTTATTTACACCTTGTGTTTTAATTAATTTGTCTCAAAACCCCCTTATGCTGTCAATTTATTCAAACTAACACATGCATTTTTAATTTCAGTCAATTGAGTATAATTTTCTAAAATTGGATATCTATCTCAATCAATTAAATACTTTAATACATGATTTGTTCTTATCAATATGATTCCTATTAACATCATGGCCCATCCCACCATCCCTCTGAAGTAGTCTCTCTCTCTCTCTTTTTAGGCAAATTGTATTCAATCGATTGAAATTGAAAATAGTTACTAAATTGACAGAATTGACAATATATATTGATTGATTGATTGGCGAATTAGTGAAAACACAGGAAGCAAATGATGGGTTTAACCAATGATTTTGCTTTCTATTTTGAGAGGGAGGGAGTCTCTTGACAATAACTAAACTATTACAGGTTCCAATAGGCCCATATAGTGGTCCACGTGAACCTTAGTCAGACCTGAAGGAGTGAAGGAAGTTCAGTAATGAATTTTGATTGAACTTGAATGGGCTAATCTTGGCCCAAAATTAATCATAGTGAGCCTTGAACCTGAGACCCCAGTTCCCTAAGATATATGCAAAAGGGCCGGAGAGCTTAGCATGGCAATTTGCCTGACCTAGACAAACACGTTGAAGATTCATTTGGATTTTAAATTTTCAATTTAATTTAATAGACCCATTTATCTAATCGAGAATTTTAATTAACAATCCATGATACGAATTGCTTTTTCTTGGTAATTAATTTCTAGTAATCCATTTTTAAAAACATGTGTATGTATATAGGGTTTTTTCTATATTTAAACTTCTGTGCTCTTCGAATTTTTTTATTAAAATTCTTTATTCATTTTTATCTTGATTGAAACCTTTATTTTTTAAAGTTTGTTACTTAGGATCTTATTTTATAATGCTATTAATCAATGATCAAACGTGATCAGAATTTATTACTTTACAACGTCATGTGTTACTCGTTGATTGATGGTTTTATGATAAAGAATTTGAAACAATAAATCTCAAAAAAATAGAGTATTTTAATCAAGCAAAAATAAAATAAAATAAAATAAAGGGTTTTAATTAAAAAAATTGAAGAGTATAGGTCCAAATATAAGGTAAACCCTATGTATAGACTATGGATTCTATTTTTTTTTCCACTAGCTCTAAGACTTTCATTTAATAGCTAGTGGTTTTTAATTTTAAAATAGTTTTCAAAACAGTTTTTGAAATTTTATCGAAAAAAATCTTTTCTGTTGACAAAAAAAAAGCTATATAACCTTGAAATTTGACCACACCTTTCAATCACCTTCGGCTTCCCTTCATAAATTGGGTTTAATTAAAACTAGAATTTAGGAATTTCAAAATGAATTATGATTTTAAAATCCAACTATGCCATATATATTTTTTATATAGTTTGTTAATAAGTAGTACTCTGAAAATGAAAAAAAATTCAAATTTTTATAACGTATTTAAAAATATTTCATGATCTAGAGATAATTTATTTAAAAAAAAGGATAGATTTAATTTTTATTGACTTGAATATTGATTTCAGAATACCTCACTAATTATTACATCAATAATAACAATAATAAAAAATCTAAGCATATGAGACCAAGGATGACTCCCAAGGCACCTATAAATCATTGATGAAATTCTTTTTAATAAACCTGATATTTAAATAAATACTTAGCATTAATCCAATAATCAGAATGTTTTTGGATTTTCAATTTCTCACGTTCTTTCAACCGTTCTGTATGCCACTTGTACTTCTTTAATAGGCACAACACACTCACTTACCCTACGCCCTCTAACAACAAACCACAACCTCCATTTATAAACCCTAAATCCCCAAAACCCTATAGTCTCTCCTGTCTGCAAATGATTTCAAGCTCTCTCATTTCTCTTCCTCAACAATCCCTTCCGTTTGGTTTCTACACACCCATTAATCTCCAGACTCCTCGCCACAACCCAACAATCGGTTCTGTCTCTACTTTGTTCTAATGTAATCTTTGTGTGGGTTTGAGTATCTTTAAAAAAAAAAAAAAAAAAAAAAAAACTTGAAAGATGCTAAAAGCTTTCTCCTTGTCAATTTTTTAACTTGACTTTTGGAATTCAGAGTTAGAATTCCGAAACGAATGAAACCCATCCTTTTGTTTCTTAGGAATGTGTGTAAAGTTATGTGCTTTGTCAATTTTCGGGTTGTTTAAGAAATGGGTTTGTTTTAATCTCGGAGTGCCAAAATTTTGGTTGTTTTGGTAAAATTGGTGCTTAATCAAATAATGGGAATGTTCGTTTCTTAATGTTGGGGTTTAGGATCACACGTACAGTTAATTTGCTTGATAAGTGATAGGTGGAGTAGATATAGTTTGGTTGCAATTTGATCGTGAAATGTGCCAAAAATTCAGTTTTTGTGATGGTTTTGGTGAATTGGTTCTTAATCAAATGATGGCTATGGATTTGTTTTGATGGGTCCTCGATTTTCTTTTTTTGGTTTTTGCAGTAGGCATGAAGGTGAGATCATCAGTGAAGAAGATGTGTGAGTTTTGTCAGATAGTTAAGCGTCGTGGGCGGATATATGTAATCTGTAGCTCTAATCCCAAGCACAAGCAACGTCAAGGCTTCGCAACATTTGCTTATGGTGGACTCATGTATGTACTCCTTCTATCTCTCTTCTATCTCTCTAATTTGGTTTATTTTTATTTTCCGATGCTTCTTATTTTAAATACCTTTTTTTATTGTATAGGTTTCTTTAACACTTTTAAGCATCCAGTTATTTGATTTCCTCTTCTAATTTAAAGTCGGGTATCTTATGAATTTTTGGGTAATTTGTTAGTTAAATAGATTGTTTTGGAGATTAGTTTCCCTCTTAGAACTTCTGGCATGTTTATAGAATCTGAAAACTGATGAGAGTTTTGTCCTTGTTGACCTTGTTTGTACTCGGTGTTTTGCCGCAGATAAGCCATCTTATCAATTGATTGATCAGTATTTTGTAGTGTTGGCAATACCCAGATAATTTCCCTGGATATCGTAAGATACTTTGCGTCTCTTGCCCAAAGGCTTTGAGCTGCTTTGAGCTCCTACACAAAATTTACTAGGGACACAACACCATATATCAATCTTGGAGACCAGCATCTTGTCTCCATTTTTGTCAGTTTTGCACTATGGAAACTCCAATTAATTTGCGAGTTGGAGCATCCTCTAGTCTTGCACAAGTCGATATGCATGATTCATTAATTTGGTTTCATGCCATCATAATGTTGAAATTCGTTGGATATTTTTGAAGAGTCTCGATCATATCATTCTGAAGTAATATTGGTCTATCCTTGATCTTTGTTTGTGGGTGTTGCACTCATTGAGAAAAGACATGGATGTTACTCGTTCAGTTGAGAACAGTTTATGTTGACAAGTAACTATCAATATGGCACATTAGGCATTGAATTTTAATAGGAATGCAGTATGAAAACACCTTTCTGATCGAACACCTGTGGAAATTTAATAACGTGCTTGCTGATATCTTTCCTAGATCTGCAGAGACTAGTGCCCCACAGAGAGTTGTACCCAGTCAAAGCGCAGTGGTAGGTCTGGCTTCTCTCGTACCCAAAAAGCACGAACCATCAGCGTTGTATGGATGGAGGGGTGGCCTTTCATCTTTCCTTTCCAAACAAGGGAATTAGCTGAAGAAGAAGTGGAGTTGATGGTTGACTGGTAGTATCTGTTTTAGGCCTCATGAAAATGTTAATCACTCATCTTTTTTCAACAATCTGTTCCATTTCACTTTGCTTTGGCATTTGCTTCGTTGTTGATACTCATTTTTCAGATATGGTACCATTGCCCTGCTAATAGCCTAATACTCGTTGTTTAGACTGCTCTCTGTTTGATGCGGTATATGGCTATAGATAAGAAACTCGGAATGCCTTTGATGTGGCCAAGCTTTTTTTCACTTGTACGACAACCAATAAATGAGATCATAGCAATGAGTAATTTTGGTTTGTGTTTTCTCTTGTGTTTTTATTTATTTATTTGTAATTGCCTAATCAGAACCTTTTTCTCCTCTTAGAGAATAGCAAGACATGGGACTTCAATCCTTGCCGTATTGCAAAAAAAAAAAAAAAAGAGCTATGAAAAATTTGAAGTGCTAGGAAGCAGGATCATAACTTCGGACATAATCGTTGTGAAAAAAACAGAGAGAATGTCTGATGTAGCAGGAGAATGTTTTCAATATGCTCTATTCTTTTTAAATACAGTCGTATCTGCTAATATATTTGTTTTGGCTAACCAACTATAGTATAATAGATCTTGGCTTTTATTTTTATGTTTTTTGGGTAAATGTTTCTCATGGGTTAGAACTTAAGTACATGGGGAAAACTAAAGCTAAACCCTTGAGTATTCTTACTTGGTGACTAGTAGATCTAAAGTTATTCTTCATGAGCATTATTTTTTTTTAAGGAATACATCTCAGTCTGGTGAGAAAACTGGTATGCTAAAGGGTAAGAATGAAACAAGGAGAGGGATGAATTGCTTGATTGTACCATAGTTATAGAATTATGAGTGAGTTCAAGCCATCGATTTTGATATATCATTAACTAGAAAGTACATTAAGGTATTTTGAATGTATGTATTTCAGAATTGTATTTTTTAACCTTGCAATTGATTGATAGTGAAAATATGGTGTTGGCTATAACATTTAAAATGTTTGGTTTATGTTATTTTATCCATCATGAATAAGAGATAGTAAGAAATTAATATATCGAATGGCCCCTTTATTTTATTTTCTTTTTCTAGGTTTGCTACTGCTAACTGTTCTACTATATTTTTATTGTTTGTGACTTCAACTTTTGAAGAACTAACGTGAGAGATCTCGTGTACTAGTACTTGTTTATTGATCTTTTTTTTTTTTTTTGGTACCTCTAATTTTGTTTGATTGTTAACATATTTTATAAAATCTAGAAGGCTTCATTTATCATTGACATAAGGGATATGTAGTTTTGATGTTTGTGACCTTTTTTTTTCCTGTGTTTTTATGTGGTCATCACCCTATTTTTTCCTTCCTCGGGACTCTTTTTTAATCAAGTTTCACACCGAGACAAAAAAATCTCCATAAATATTTTTCCTTTTTTTGGTCTCCATTTCACATAGTTTCCCTAAATATTAAAGCCTGTATAGAAATCCTTAAAACTTCACCAATGTTTTAATTCTTTTTCTCCAAATTTCCTAGAAAGTTTGCTATTTGCTTGACATCTTCAAATGCTAAAGGTGTTGTCATCTTTGGAGATGGGCCTTATGTTTTTGCTTCCAAATGCTGATGACCTTCTCAGTCCCTCACCTACACCCCATTAATCCTCAACCCTGTAAGCACTGCATCTGGCTACTTCGCCGGAGATCCTTTCACTGATTACTTCATCGGAGTCAAGTCTATCAAGATCAATGAAAATTTTGTTCCATTGAACACATCATTGCTGTCCATTAATACAGAAGGCTATGGTGGAACCAAGATTAGCACAGCAGATCCTTACACAGTAATGGAAACAACAATCTACAATGCTGTCATCGACACTTTCGTCGAAGAACTAGCCAAAGCCAATGTCCCTAGGGTCGCATCTGTAGCAACTTTTGGGGCATGTTTCAACTCGAAGAACATTGTCGGCACGCGAGGTGGCCCAGCTGTGCCTCAAATTGATGTTGTCCTGCAAAGCAAAAGTGTCTACTGGAGGATATTTGGTGCAAACTCAACGGTGCAAGTTAAAAATGCTGTTCTGTGCCTTGGATTTGTTGATGGAGGTGCGAAACCTAGGACTTCAATTGTCATTGGAGGCCACCAACTCGAGAACAATCTCCTATAGTTCGATCTTGCTGCTTCAAAACTGGGCTTCAGCTCTTCACTGTTGTTCAGACAAACAACTAGTGCCAACTTCAACATCACCTCACTGTCATAGGAGGATTTCTTAATTCTTTAGCATGCTTTTGTTTGACTTTATTTATTTCTAATCGTAATTGTCTGAAAGAAAATAATGGCCATGATTGCCACAGAAGAAAAATAAGCAGAAGGTAGTGAAGCACTTCGAAATCAGAATCTACTAAATTAATGTGGTGATGCATTTACGAATACTATTTGGTTGATCATTACAGAAAGGCTTTTCATCACATTATATGTCTAGATGCTTGTAAGGCACCTTCAAACCAGAGTTGATAAACAGTATACCAAGCAAAGAAACCATCCATTTAAGTCCAGCTATCCTTGTACAAAGCATCACAAGGGCTGATAGAATTCAGGTGGGTAGGAAATATGGCAAACCAGTTAAGGCCAGTATGAGCATTTTACAACATTGGTTTGACAATAAAATTGTTGACAACAAAAGTAAGCTCAAACTAGGTTGTCCCGGCTTGCCTTCTCAAGAAATTTGGCAGCTTTATAGATCCTGATGTTTTCTAAAGCAAAGTCTGCCAAGTAGAAAAAAGAAATATCGGCAGCCAGTATACCTGCTGAATACCCAGTTGAAAGACCAACGGTCTACCTGAACTCAAAAAATGAATAATAGCAAAGTAGCAAGTGAATTATAACTTTCAAACTCATTCATTAATCAACACAACATCAGCTATGTGACATAGATCAATTAAAAATTGACTAAGAAAGTTGTTCTAATTGATGATAGTTTGCCTATTGGGCTCTTAACAGTTTCTTAATCACCAATTTATAACTTTCAAACTCACACTAATATCAACACAACATCAGCTATGTGGCATTGATTAATTAAAAATGAACTAAGAAAGTTGTTTCGATTGATGATTATATAAATGGTGCAAATTCGAAGATCATAGTTTACCTCCTGGACTTGGAACAGTCTTGGGAATGGAGGATGCTATGATCTTGGCACTCATCCACAGGAAAAAAATATTACCAACCAGCAATCAGTTTTTCCAACACGTAGCCACAACAACGTTGTACATTTGCTTGACTAAAGTTACCACAACAAAGCAACAATGTAATTATATAACCAGTTCTAGTGTCACACCACCTTTCTCCTTCTCAGAGCTGAACAGGAAAACACAAATAATATTAGATTCAGATTGGACAGTATGGAAATTCATCCCCAGCTGCAAACAAGGTATAGCCATGATCTGATTTATAATTAAAAATTTCACCTTATAGCAAACAAGATGCAGTTAAAAATAGACCTTGACAACCAGTCCAAGAATGGCCTTTTCCGTTGAAGATCCAGAAATCTACATATCTCCACCCCGCAGCCCAAGAGCAGTGATGACACATCATATGATGCGATAGATACTTGATCAGCAATTTCATTCTTCTATAAGTGCTGAACACTAGTGAAACATTCTAGAATAAGCCTTTCTTCTCCTCAATCCTAATCACTTCTATCAGCAATTTCTTCATAGAAACAGAAAACCTTTCTGTATTCCTCCTTCATTGGTTCCAAGTTTAGGCAACTGCAACATCTATGGTGTCGAGTGCCATAAATGCCTGGGCCTGGCAAAAAAAGAAAAAGAAATGAAAGTACATTGGCTTCACCATCATGTTCGGCAAAGTCTTTACAATAATCCTCCTTTTACATCTCCAAGTCTCAATTTGTAAACATCTCAGGCGGTCTTCCACAATGATGAGCTCAATCTCCATCCCTATCTTCATTCGCACTACAAGCATCCAACTAATTTTAAGCTTTACATTTTTCAAAAAGCAATCTGACAGCCTCTTGAGCTGCTCATTCCAAAATCTTCCATAGAATCTACAACCTCCATCCCCTAAGAAGTATCATCTGGCTCTGGGTCAAGGTGAGCTGGCCAATCAGGATAAGTCAATATCTTTGAAGTAGTTTGATATTCCTTTGTCTCCCCCTCAGGACTTCACTCACAATCAATAATAAGAACATGAGATAACACCCTTCACTTGCAACATGCTCAATAAAGCAAACCCACACCTGTTCCTTCACTTACTTGCCAAAAGTGGCACGCTTTCCATCTAGAAGGAATTTTATTAGTTGTAACGAAAAACTGCAATCAGTGGAGCCAGGGCCCATATTAGCCATTAGCAACAAGCCTTTTCTTTCATATTTTAAACCATAATTGCATCTTCAAATTTCAAGCCAAAAATGGATTCTCCAATTCCATTTTGAGCTGTTAATGATATACCTCCTCACTGTGTCATAAAACCTATGATAATTTAAATTTAAATAAAAGGACTCTTTTGTAAAGGAGAGCACACGAGTGTTGGGGCCAATGCCCTTTCCCCCAGCATACAATGCCCTTTTAGTATCCTCTTATACCACTGTCCCCTCCCCACACCAAAAAAAAAAAAAAAAAAAGCTTTCCTCATGTAGTTATATCTCATAAGCACCTTAGCTTCATCATCTCTAGCTCCTGCCCTGCTGTCTCTATCTCAAAACCCTAACCATAAAAATTATAACAACCAGATAAATTTCCTAGAAGACGGCACCTCCACCTCTAAATCAAGAGAAGCCCCAACTAGTTCCATGAAGTTGGCATTCATATAAAAGTGTCAAAACAGAAGCTATCTATATTTTCACCTGCGAACAAATTTGGCACAGTGTTGTGCAGAACTTCTTGGTTTAGAAAGTTCATCCATGAACCTATTATATGTATCAAGATCAGGGATAAATTCCTTATCTAACATCTCATCCACCAAAGTTTCGCCTTCCTTTCTTTTACCCTCTCTTATACACCCAGATACCAAAATGCTATATGTCATCTCATCTACATCCAAACCCTTGCTAGAAGCCAATAATCTCAATCTGTTAGCATCAAAAGTTCTTCCTGCATTGCAAAGTTCTTGAAGCAGACAATTAAAGGTCATGATATCAGGAACAGTATTCTCTTTCAACATCCTCTCCAACAATTCAAATGCCTCGTCTATTCTACCTGAATTTCTCAAACCTTCTATCAAAGTGGTACAGCAAATCGAGCTAGGAATATTTCCATTATTCCACAACTCAATTAACACTTCCGAAGCTCTATCTGCCATTCTTTTCTTGCAAAGCATATCCACAAGACCAAAAGAATCAAACTTCCTCGGCAAAACTCCTTTCCTTGTAAAATCAATCAACAATCCGCATGCCTCCGATGCCTGCCCTTCCTTGCAAAGTCCATCAACTAAAATCTCACAAGTCACACTCGATATCTCACACCCCAAATCAATCATCTCATACACCATCTTAACCCCTTCCTCAAATTTCCTCTCTGTAAAAAATCCTTTAATCAAAGTATTAAAACTAACCACATTAGGACTACATCCTTTCTCTCTCATTTCTCTAAACAATTCCAGAGCTGATTCGAACATGTTATTCCTACAATAACTATTAATCAATATATTAAACGTAAACACATCAGGCTTAACTCTATCCTTCAACATCCTATCATAAACCCCAATAGCCTTAGCGTGCTCTCCGCACTTCACACACCCATTAATCAAAACATTGTAAACAACAACACTAGGCCTTCCATCAATCAATTTCCTCATACATTCAAAAGCTAACAAAGCATCGTCCAATTTCCCAGCTTTACAGTAACCATTAATACAAAACTGAAATATGGGTTCAATTCTTGGACAAGAAAAGATACCTTCACTACAAGGACAAGGATTGGTTGACATAAATTGAAGAAGCAAAGCAAGCTCCTCTAACCTGTTTGTGATAGCAAGAGTCCTTGCCATCCATTCAAAAGTTTGATGATCATGCCTAAAAGAGTCTATAGTAGAAACCCAATTGAAAATATGAAAGTCATAGTGAGAATAATGTGGGTGGTGGTGGAGTCTGGTTTTGAAGAAGTGGAGGAGCTTTTGAGGGGTTAAAGGTTGGATCTTTGTGAGGTGGGAGTTGAGAAAATGGAGGAGGTTTGTGTGGTTAGAGGTAGGTGTGAGAGTGAGTGTAGGGAGAGGGGCTAAATGGGTTGTTCGTGGTGGTTTTGGAAGAGGAGGAAGCGGTGGTTGTGATGGCGATGATGGAGGTTTATCAAGGGTTTTGATGATGGGAGGAAGTGTGAATTTTTTCTTTTTGAATGACATTTTCTGTGTCAGTGACTACAGGACTGTGTTTTACTGTAATGAGTAACGTATTTGCTGGTTTCTTTTTGGGCTAACCTCATATCAGTCCCCAATCCGTTACAAATTTCTCAATTGGATCCCCAAACTGTAGCTTTTATCGATTAGGTTTGGGTCTCCAACCTATATAAGAATTCTCAATTGAAAAAAAAAAAAGAAAGAAAAAAAACCAAATTTCTTCAATTAAAGGAGGAATTGAACCTTGCTGCCTCCTTTTTTAAAATAAATTGCTCAAATTAGTTTCAATTTTTTAAATGATTTATCCAATTCCCTCAAATTTTCATTTTAGAATACACTAAAAAGTTTTTGTTATCTCAAGTCGTCAACAAATACCAATTATTTCAGTTAAAGATCCAACAATTCAATAGAATTTATAGGTGAATGGATTCGTTAGAACTAAATTGAAAAAAAAAAATTACTTAATTTCGACGTACAAATTCTTATCATTATGACCAAAAAATTTAAAGGTTTTTGATTAAATTTTTTGTCAAATAAAAAAATCTAAATCTTTTTTTTATCACTAACATGATTTTAATATGAACTCCTTATAACAAAATGTAATAAATTCATAGAATTTTTTTAAAAATATATCAATATGTTTTTTATGCATTGTTGGTAAAGTAAGCAAGAGGCAAAAGCATCACATCAAAAACTATAAATTAATAAAAAGTAAATGCATATGAATTATAAAAAATATTATCCAAGGTGAAAGAAATAATGAACTAGCAGTCACTCAAGAAAGTAATAAAGTGTTTTCATAAGTATCAAACACCACGATATTAATTGCTTTATGTAACTCATCATCCTCTCTAATACCTTCCACTAATCCCACCTTCTTCCGTCTCCACCGTCACCCAGTTCAATATCAATTAATGGTGACATTGAATAGCTCAATTCCTGCTTGGATTGATCACTTTCTTGCTTGTATGGGGTAAGTCATGAAAAACCCATTTCTTTTTTCTTTATTTGGTTCGTTACTCTTTGTGTTTTGATTGGCGGCAGTAATGTGTGTTTATTCAATTGTAAGAGGGGTTAGATCTTGAGTTTGAGTTAAGAGCCTTAAAAGAACAACTGGGTTTGGTTTCTTTTTGGGTAATAATTATGGGTTTTTTTTTAAGTACTTCTGTGTTTGCTCTATTTTTGGTAAAGTTGAGATTTTTTTTTTTTTTTTGAGTGTGTTTTGATGAAGATTGGGTCAGGGGAAATTCTTAGGCGACTTGAAATTGTGAGAAAAAGAAAAAAACTAAGTGAACAAACATGGATCTTTAATTTGATAGTACCGTTAAAACTTAAAGTAGAGAAGATTTTATATCCAAATTATAGTTCTTATGTTTCTACAATAAGAAAGCGCATGGCTAAGGATTTAAGGATTACTATTAAGCGTTTTAGTTAATTTGGGTGCTGGAAGATTGCACTTCTCGTAGCTACTGAACTATAGAACGTTTTGTGATACTATAGCTGTTCAAAGATTAAAAATTTATTGCCAGATGTAAGGGAAGGTGAGACTAATATTGGCTCATATGGTGTTGCCTTTTATTCCTTTTCAAAGAAATCAAGCAAATAGTAATTTGGATCAGAGGTTGTATAGTTGTCAATTTCTGTACTTCAACTGTGCCTTAAGCTTCATAGCAGGAGTGGAACGTTGATGAACACAACCCAAACCAATTAAGTCTTACTCAAAACTGCTTATTATCAGCTAATGAATCCTTTCTTTTCCTTTCAGTTCTAGCTCTATCTCGAGCAATTTCTTTCATTGGCTCCTTGACAATAAAATAGAAAGAAACCTGTGATTATAAGTTTTACCATGCTATTGTTGCTCTGTCTAGAAGAAATGTTTGTAGTTGTGTTTCGCCTCAATAAATTAATGATAATGAATAGGATTGCATGATTTTTTCTTATCTCGTTATGATCATTGTCAATGTCAACTTTCATACATATGGTGCCAACACTTACTATTTTGTTGTTGTTGTCGTGCATTGCATTTGTATATATGCTTTAACTTGGTTTGCAACAGTACAGTGGTTGTTTTGGATGCTGTACGAAACCCACACCAATTATTGCTGTGGATGAGCCATCAAAAGGATTGAGAATACAAGGGCGAGCAGTGAAGAAACCAAGCATGTCAGATGATTTTTGGAGTACCAGCACATGTGACTTGGACAACAGTACTGTTCAATCTCAAAGAAGCATCTCATCAATCAGCGTATCAAACCAGAATCTCAGCAGCAGCACTGCTGGCATCAGCAGCAATAGCGAATTTGTAAATCATGGTAAGCTGCAGCTTATCTGTTCTAATTGACTATTGATTATGTGATATGACATTGCTATTTTGTTAATTTCAGGTCTCCTTCGCTGGCAACAGAACAGGCTTCAATGGATTGGAAGTGGCACATCTGGGAACCAAAATCAGCGAAGATGGGAATCCAGATTAAGGTGTTTTTCATTCTTTTAGAAGTTCATTATTTTGATTGAAATGCTCTCGCTTTCCCTGTACCCCGGCAGAGGCACCATAAAAAACAAGGTTCTCCTGCTCTCTAAGTTTAGGCTGTTAGTAATGATCTTCAACAACCATGTTTTGTTTTTCTCGTGCCAAATCATCTCATCTTCTGATTGCCTGCTGTTGTGACGACTACTCTCCATTGTTTTCCCATATATAACATTTAGCACATGGTGCTTTTGGAGTTAGAGAAAACGGGGAGAACTTTTCTGTGTTGGATTTAGTAAATTCCTTGTGATTTGTATTTGTCCTTCTCATGTTGATTTGCTGCGTCTTTTCAGTTGGAATGCAACTTACGAAGGTTTACTAGGATCCAGAAATCCTTACCCTCGGTCCATCCCTCTTTCTGTAAGTTAATGCAGCTCAGTTTTTTTTTCCCTTTTCAGTCTTGTTTGCATTTCATCGGAGCAGCACAATTTTGACATTTACTGATTGGATTCTAACTCGTCAGGAGATGATTGATTTTCTGGTGGATGTATGGGAGCGGGAGGGATTGTATGATTGATGATTTTGAATCGCAAGGACTGTTTCAGCTTTTTTCATAAAAAGAATCCCCCTGTTTAACTCTTAAAAATCTTCTGTAATCTGTAAATAGCCATGTACACAAAGGAAACAAAAAACATAAAGTCAAGCAAATGTTTCCACTCAATTGTAATTTCCCAGATCAATGTGAATCAACTCTCCTTTTCCTATTCTGTAAATATCCATATCGAACGCATATTGTGTACCATATTGGATGGAATACAGGAACAGCCACTATTCTCTTGCATGCACTTTGGATCTGTGTGAAATATGACTACGACCAAGCTTCTTACTCGACATGCCAATCTGCACAAGTAGCAGGACGGTGAATATTACACAGATGATGCAGGGCATGTTTCATGCGAAGTAAGATTCCAGCACGGTTAACTGAGCATCCAGTTAAGAGGTTCCTAGTCGATTTGTCTTATGTACATAGTTGAAATCTGATGTTCTAGGTGCCCTAATGTAGCAATCTGAAATCTGATGTCCCAACTTAGAGATCATCCAGTAAGCCACGCATAAATACCACTACATGGGCACTATCTGGATGATCAGATGTGTTTCTAGTTCATTCCAAACAAACCTTGCATGATTGGCTAAGCTGCAGCTTACATCATTGGATATCCTCTTAACTTTAGTTGTTGAGGATGATTAGACAAGGAAAATGCAGGTGGGTCATCAAAATCTACAATTATGAAGGAGAAATGGGCTTAAAAAAAATATCAAATGGGCTAACAAAGAATAGATAGGATGATACAAGAAGGCCTTGAAGTTGAAATACGAGAAAGATCCTTTTCTATAATAGGACAGCCACAGCCGCTATTTTTGGAAAAAATTGCAAGCTCGGTAGAATTTACACGAACTTTCCTCCTAACCAAAAACAAAAAGGAGAAGTAGTTTCTTGATGGAAAAAGACCTTAGTAAAATGACAGAGATGCATGCATGCACAACAGCACAAGGAGAGCCTCATACAATGAATTTTTTGACAAAAAGAAAAGCTCCAAGCTGCATGAAAACCTTCAAAAAAACGATGACTAAAAAACCCTAAATGTTGGAACACACAAGTTGAAAAATATATAAACCTAATCGCTACATTATGACCGCCGGTCATCGAGGGCACTTGTATTTCAAAATGCGGCAGTAGGTTCAACAAATCTGTTTGACTAAGCCATGTTTTGATTGGTGAACTGCAATTATGACCGCAGGTCTTTTGTTTCCTACTTCCAAACCAAATTTTTTACCTCCTGAACAATAAAAAGGGTGAACTAGATTCAATGAAAATAAAAACAAATCACATTATATGACGATGTATTGTTGGAAGATTTAGGTTGATTCGGTTTGCGAAAATTGGCACAAGAATATTTTGATTGGCCATTGATCACTAAAACAATGGAAAAAATCTTGTTGGTGAATAAAAGAAGATACATCAAGAATAACAAGAACGTTCTCCCAGATTCAATGAAACATTGATGACGAGGAACAATAATGTTAATTTGTTAGGTACATATTATTCTGCTAAATATAGTTATATAAATATAGAAGACCAAGAAACATGATCAATCTTTTCCAACACATCTTCACTACAAATTTCTACATATCCTCATGAAGATTTCGGATTAATGCAAGGATTCAGATTCACTCATTAAATGTATTTAATTTGATGACCTAACAAATCTGTATAGTTAGGAATGATCCATACGTTCGATATTCTTTATTTAATTAGATGACCTAACAAATCTCTATAGTTAGGAATGATCCATACGTACGATATTGTTTACTTAGTGCTTCCTCTTTGTTACGAAAAAATTGTAGTCTTTAATTTTTCATACAAATTAAAAAAAGTTATGTCATATCAATATTTTTTTTATCATACATTTCTAAAATACTGTTTTTTTTTATAGAATTTTTAATAATCAAATTAATCGTACATGACATGAAATATATATTAATTAAAAATATTTTGAGAAAATACATCACTTAAAATTTTATGCTAACAAGCATTCTGGAGCACATATAAATAAAAAATACACATAATTTCTTCGGAACGGAGGAAGTATAATTTTTGTGGCTCAAAACTCAACTTCTACTTTGGAATAAATTAATTTTTGGCAAAAACACTTTGTATTCTTGCTGGGATCTTAATTTTGTTTGTTCCCTTTTGCTTCAATATGGTAATTTTATTTAACATAGCTACATATATTGGTAAATGTTTTAGGCCTTGAAGTTTTTCAAAGAAAACTAATTGATATGTTGATTTTTTTTTTTTTTAGGATATTGATGATATGTTGATGTTACGACTTTATCAAAAAAGGAAATTAAGTTTTACCAAATTTGAATATAATAACACAAATGGCTGATTCTGATTTTATTTTGTTCCCATAGATTCATGCCTATGTACAGTTTAAGCACACACATGTCTATATATAATAATTCTTGTTCAAGACATATATCTCCTGCCGTTATTTTGAAAAAAGAAAAGAAAAGTACAAAAAAAAAAAAAAGAAGAACAATTAACCTATCCAAAGATGATCTTTCTTGCACATGAATACGGCTAATTCAATGAACATTCCAATAGAATACAAAAATGCATTAAGCTGAAGATCAAAACCTTATTATTATAATAAAATGGATATGCCCTAATACAATAATACGGCTACACTGTATCTGGGCATCTAATCAATGTTATGCCCTAAATATATAAAACAAAAAAAGGGAAAAAAAACATGTATTTGACCAAGCCCATGTCTTCACACTCTTGAAACTAATTGCTTGAGAAAAACGTACAAAAAGAAAGAGAGACTACCTTCATTTCTTGCTTCAATCAATGTGGATATAGGGACATGTCGGCCTATATATGTTGAAGATTTATTTATAATTATTTGGATGACGATGACATGCATGAACCGTGTGCGTATAAATCCACAATTCTTTTTAAAACAGTGTGAAATTTGGAGGACCAAATTAGGGTTTGTTGGCTGAATTTCATGGATTTTTCTTGCTTGATTGACTCACTTGCCTAAGTTAAGTACTCGGAGATGGAGCCCTTTAGGTTTAGTTATATTCATTTCTAGGGCAGTGGGCGGTGGGCCTATGATAAGAGCAATCAAAGAACAAAAAGAAAGAAATAGAAATATTAAAGTAGAGGAAGCAAAAATGCTACTCCTATTAAAAAAAAGACTTGGCCTCTTTAGGTTTTTTGTTATTTTTTAAAGGATGTTTAATTTTGACGTAACAAACCTATGTTCACATTTGGTCCAATTAATTAAGGACAAGTTTTCCCTGCTAGCCGTACACATGAGAATTTAGGATTTACCTATCGGACTTTCTTTCTTTCTTTCTTTATATATATGTATATATATTTAGTAAAGTATCCTCAAATCAGTTTTTGCATAAATAAAGACTAAATTTGTTAGTTTTTGAGGTAAATCAGCATCAAAATATGCATTATCTTTTGTCGATTACTAAACTCTCTCTTAGAGATAATGAGCTCAAGCTCGATACCACTAAGGAATAATTATGATTAATTATTTATGAGTTGTAAAAATTGAATATTGGTTTTAGTCAAATCAAGACAATCTTTTTACTACTAGATCACATTCCTTAGTTCCGGACTTTTTTCTTTAAAAAGAAAATATAATGTCGTTAATACTACAAATAGTTTATAGTCATTACATTTTTGTACAAGACTTAAATAAAAATTACAAGGATCATAATCAATTCTAATAAAAAAAAAACTTGTCTATTAATACAAAAACGATTAACCTTTCGAGTACGGTCTCTTACTCTCTAATTCATGAACTTCCTAATGAGTTCTTTTAGTTTTTTCTTGCCATATTGTTTATGATGTGATTTTTTTTTTATGTTTTTCAAACTCAAAAATTTTCTTTCACCTTTTATCAATAGAGGAACGAACCACTTGAAATTCCGAAACCTACCACGGATGGAAGAAACAAACCTACGATAATATTCTCAAACCTCTTTTCACTAACGGATTCGACGACTATACCACTTGAAATTCATTCAATACTGTAAATTCGTGTTTTGATCCATCATAGATCTTCATATGAACCTACGATTAACATAATCCAACAATAAAAAAACCTTATATATAGAGGACAACAAACCAAAAAACACAAAGAAAAATTACAGATTATAGATTGTATATATTAAAATATATAATTACTTGGACAACTATAACCATCAAATCCGATCGGATCCGAAATTATTAAGGAAAAAAAGAAGATAGGCCAAGAAATAGGATGTGGCGACTACGGAAAAAGATGAAAGGGTTCTTTGTTTTTAGAAAGAGGCGGAGTAATGTAATTTTCTAAAGCATGAAAAAACAAATACATATTTTGCATATAAGAGATTATCTTAATAGTTAAAGTATGTGTTATCTCTTTAGTTTGTTACTAGCTAAGTTGTCTATTTGTTTTCTAGATAATAATAATTTTTTCAATGCCATAAAAACACTAAAAAACAAATGAATGGAAAATATTTTTCAATCAACTCTTAAATAGTGTCAATTTAAAAGAAAATATTTTAACCTCATGAAAGACGAGAAATTAATTATTATTTTTTTGTACTACTAACTTGTAATATTCACCAATTTCATAATTTGATCACCATCTTTTTAACTACTACTACTACTATCACCACCATAATAACAACAACAACCATTATTACCACCCTACAATCGATGGCCACAACCATCGTTTGTATAATTAACCATTATTTTATTATTATTCCACCATAACCTTCCACCATCACCATCACAACAATGAAAACCACCATCTCACCACCAATATTTGATGTAACCACTACTTAATCATTATTTTCTCTATTTATATAGTCACTCAAACACCAATATTATCGTCACAACAACAATCATTACCACTAATTGTTGTTGCCTCCCATTACCATTGTTATCGCCCACTTGGTAGTAAAGTAAGCATCATTACAATCATTATTTCACTACTATTG